CATACTTCTAACTGATTCATGATAATTTTTCTCATCTGGCATCAGACTTCTTACTGTTTGTGCACATCAAACCTCTTGCAGATTCATACTGAGTTTGACTAAATCATAATAGTTTTACCCTTCTGACATCAGACTTTCAACTGATTCATGCTGAATTTATCCTTCTGTCATCAGACTTCTTACTGATTCATGATGAGTAAACATATCTGACATCAGACTTCTTACTGATCCATGATGAGTAAACATATCCGACATCAAACCTCTTGCAGATTCATACTGAGTTTACCCGTCTAACATCAGACTTCTTACTGACTCATGCTGAGTTTACCTGTCGAACATCAGGCTTCTTACTGACTTACGCTGAGTTAATTGATTTGACATCAGACTTCTTACTGACTCATGCTGAGTTAATTGATCTGACATCAGACTTCTTACTGACTCATGCTGAGTTAATTGATCTGACATCAGACTTCTCACTGACTCATGCTGAATTAACTGATTTGACATCAGACTCCTTACTGACTCATGCTGAGTTAATTGATTTGACATCAGACTTCTTACTGATTCATGATGAGTTAACTGATTTGACATCAGACTTCTTACTGACTCATGTTGATTTAATTGATTTGACATCAGACTTCTTACTGACTCATACTGAGTTAATTGAGTTGACATCATACCAGATATTTACAGGTGTGTGTTCAGTTAATTAATTCGGTAATGGTTACCCAATTCGTTAACATTACTGAATTGGGAGATTTCCAGAACTGTGTTATTTCAAAGATTTTATGTTCCATGTTGTCTATGTTTGTATCATTGCAGTTTAAAGGTTTAGTTAGTCTTTAAATTGTCCTTTTTCAGGGGTGTGCTCTGTTATGCTATGAATTTTAGGTATTTCAATTTTCCTTGAGAAAATGCAGATTCAATAATTATTTCACTATCTTATGATATTTTCAGCAAAAAGTGTTCCAGCCAACAAATAAAACTTACAACTGGATTTTTTTTCTGTTGAAATCTGCTAATAACAAACAAAATGTTCTGCTTTATAGGTAGCCAGCAAGGCTGTATCTCAATCCAGCTTAAGACTAGTATTCTTGTCTCATTGGTTACATATACATGTATTAATTTCTAAATATTATTTTTATCAAGAGAATAATAGTATAAAGTTACTTAAAGATAAAATGGAAAAAGGCTAAATTTAGCAACAATATTTAATCTTCATATTTTTATTTCTCTTACCAGTGGCTCACATATATATTACATTTATTTACTAACAATTAACTTCATAAAACAAATCATTTTAATAATCTGTTTGGTTATTTTCACTAAAATCACATACATGCACAGAATCATTAATTCACATTTTGGTAAATAAATTTTTTTTAAGGACTGGCCATTTTTCAGAGGATTTTAAATATTTTACTCTTACTAAAATTTCTAGTAAACACTTTTGGTTAAAATACTTTACTCCATTCACATTTATTAAATAATTGTTTCAAATTTCAAGAACTCTGGTCTGAATCATATTTGACAAAGGGAACTGATCTTAGCTTGTATACAAGCTTTACAGGTCTTCTGCACGTCATATTTACTTTCTACTTTACTTCTTAAGTTAATACCAGTGATAATTCTTCTATAATTTTTTTCTTTCATGTAAATATATTGTGTAGATTCATTATTATTCGGATACCACTTTTCGTGGATTAAGGTAAAACACTAATTTAAATGTTCCAAGTAAAAAATTTCCGTTGGTTTATTTATGCAGACTTTGGCAAAAACCATGAAATCAAATTTTCCACATTTATACAATTTTTACCTCAATCTTCAAAAATTGGTATCCATGAAATAAGTTAACCATAATAGTTGAATCTGAATTGAGCTTTTACCAAAATGTGAACAGCTGTTCAATTGTGAACAGCAGGGAAAGAGATCAACAAAGACTAAATTAAACACATATCAATTATACGTCACACTCAAGCACCTGTGTTAAGGAAATCCATTAATTCTTAAATATCATGAAATTGCTTACACTCAATTTAACGATAGAGGAATTCACAGACTTCTACAAAACAGGTAAGGATATCGGTTTAAGTACTGTAATTGACAGATCACTTTAATATAGACAATTGTAAACACATAAAAAATTTCTTCAACAATCTTCAAAATGATGTTGAATACTAAATCTGTGAAAACAACATACAGTATCAGGAATCTCATTGACAGTGGAAAACAAATCAACTATAAAATTCTACTTCATTTGGAACAAAACCATAGTTACAGAATAGATGTGTATAGTTTTAGATTTTTCAGAATTTAGATCCTTTATCTAAGGTTTAAGGCATTATTTCTGTAATTTTTTTCAAATGTTTTTTTGTTTAGAGACCTGCCAATATACACCACTACTATTCCTTACAAATTATGTGCTTATTAAAATATGAATAAAATATGTATGATAATAATGAAGTATCTAAATGCTTGAGACTTGATGATCATATAATGAAATATTGCAAAATAAAAATGTTTATGTGTACCGGTACACTAATTTCAGATGATTTCAATCAAATTAATAAGAAATGTACTTTTGTAAATGTGTTTTTCATTTTCACAAATCACTTTGTCTTCAAAATCATTTAAAATGTTTCTTGTTTATTTGGGAACATAACAGAATACCTAAGAGTAAAATGAAATGTATTAAAATATTAAAACATTTAAAATAAAAGGTTTTGGTTACAAATAAATACTTTTTTAAATCATTCTCTAAGAACTGTCATTTTTCCAATATCACTTTTGGATACAACAATTATAATTTGTATATAATACCCACTTAAACAATCTTTGCAATAATACTTTAAATCAACTTAATAACAACAGCATATGTATAATAAAATAAATGTACACAATTTCAATGACACAAATAAAATAAATTAAGCACTTACAATCAACGCAAACTGAACATGGACAGGAAAAATGTGACTATTTACACTAATCTGAAATTTCATAATATTTTCTGTGTAATAAATCGCCAAAATCACAAATACAATATCACATATTCAAACTATGCAAACAATGAATATTTATAACTGAACACAAGATAGAATTATATTATTGAGGAGGAATACCCAGGTTCAGAAATGTAGAACATGGTTTCTGCTTTTTTTTTTTTTATAGATATCCTATCTATTTTTTTCTAACCAAAGTAACAATTTATGGTGAGTTGATTTATTTTTTTCACAAAAAATCTTTCCAGAGAAAATACTCAAAAGTAATAATTATTTCAGTATAACTAATTTTAATTGTTGTCCATTTTTTTGTGAAAAAAGCTGCAGACTGATACATTTGCAGTGCATCTATAATTCAAATTCTTGAAATTTAATCATTGTACAATAACAATGATATTTGAATATATTAATTCCTTAAATAAAAGGTCAAAGGCAACAAAAAAAAAAAAAAAAAAAAATAGTTTTAGAGATAAAATTAAAATTTTGTTGATCACTGGTTGACAGATATCACAACAAATATACATTAAAAGTACACGCACAAGTAAAAGAGAAAATCTATTTTCAATATTTAGGAAAAAATATTTGGCATCTTAAATTTTATACATTTGAAAGACTTACATAACAAATTCATTAAATAACAGTACAAAAGATAGTAGAAATAATATATTATTCTTGAAAAGGCATTTACAATGTATTATAGATATATACACAGATACAAGGAAGATGTTGTCAATACATTTGGCAAAGAAACTGACAGAGCATTCTAATTGGTGGATCCACGAAGGCATTGCAATTTTCCATTTAACTAATAAAAAAATAAATGTGGATAGTGTCCACTAGTGGACACAGATGATGCCCCCGCTTGCATATCATATAGTTATAAAGGGACATAACTGAAGAACGGTAAAAGTGACGCTACCCAAATTTTAACTTGATCTGAGTTTTGTGGTAATAAGCATTGTGTGTAAGTCTCATAACATTTGGTTGAGGCTAACTTAAGAAGAGAACAGAAACTAAAAATTCAGCAATTTTTCCATTTGTAAACACGCATAACTCTAGAACGTTGTGTATAAGTTTTACAACATTTGGTTGAGACAAACTAAAAAATTCAGCAATTTTTATATTTATAAAGGGACATAACTCTAGAATGGTAAAAGTGTTGCCACCTAATTTCGTACTTAATCTGTATTATGTAGTAATAAGCATTGTGTATAAGTTTCATAACATTTGGTTGAGGCAAACTAAAGTTAGAGAACTGAAACAAAAAAATTGTACTTGATCCTTACTGAGTTTTGTGGTAATGAATATTGTGTATAGGTTTCATAATGTTCGGCTGGGGAAAACTTCAGTTACAGAATGGAAACTAAAAAATTTTGCAGTCTTTCTATTTATAAAGGGGCATAACTCAATAATGGTTAAAGTGACACTACCCAAATTCAACTTGATCTGTGTTTTATCAGTGGAAGTCAAAATTAAACATTGCATTGTATAAAGCATTGATTGTAGTTGATTCAACTATAATCATGGTCAAAGGAAGATAACTCCAATTTTAAAAATATATTATATAAACTTGATATTTAGAAAAAAATAAATATTTTGCAATTTTTCCTTTTATAAAGGTGCATAACTCTAGATCAGTTAAAGTGACACCACCAAAATTCAAACTTGATCTATGTTTTGTGGTAATAAGCATTGTGTATAAGTTTCATAACATTTGGTTGAGGCAAACTTAAGTTAGAGAATGGAAACTAAAAATTTTGCAATATTTCCTTTTATAAAGGGGCATAACTCTAGATCGGTTAAAGTGACGCCACCAAAATTGAAACTTGATCTGTGTTTTGTGGTAATAAGCATTGTGTATAAGTTTCAGAACATTTGGTTGAGGCAAACTCAAGTTAGAGAACGGAAACCAATTTCGGGACGTACGTACGTACGTACGTACGTACAGACGGACAAGGGTAAAACTTAATGCCCCCTCCGCTACGGCGGGGGCATAAAAAATAAGTAAAAACTGGCAAATATAAAATTTTGCTAAAGTATTACATCTTCCATTTTTTACTTTATGGATCTAGTCCTAATCATTGATTCAAGGGTTAAAAAGAATTGCTAACCGTTATATGTCAAATATTACTTTTTCTCATTATATTATTTTATTAAATCATAAAGTTTTGATTGAAAATGATACATAATAAAGCTGCCCAGAGAATAGCCCTTTCAACCAAGTCGCATCTTGTGTTTTCTGGTTCCAAATATACACTGTACTTCATATCTTTAAACTGTGCTGCCGTAATTTCTTCCCTTTATTTACCACAAAACAGTTTCTTATAGTAAAAGGACTACTGAGAACTAAATATATTAAAGTATTTATATATTAACATGAAAGCTGTATATTTAGAACAGAAAGAAAAGTAACATTATACAGTATTGAAACTTCTTCCTATATGAAATAATTTTAATGTATCAGATTTGCCAATATCTGATCTTACTGAAGAAAAAAAATTGATTTATAAACATTTGCACGAAAGAACTAAAAAAATATAAACATAGATGTGAAATAGAGAATAACTAGTGAAAGACTTCACACAAGGACTTCACACAACATACACAGGAATGTTATAGGTTTATACTGGACAAGGACAAATGAAGGTCAAATGTTTCTCCATTCATTCTAAAATGAAACTATGACATGGCACTTAAAAGATGTTCATACTTAGTTTTGGTTCAAAGTTCTTGATTTTTGTAGAATATATAACCATTGAAATGCATTTTCTACTAAAAACCTCTTCAAACCAAAATCCTTTGGTGAAATATTTTCTTGGGATTAATCAGATAAGAATACATTCACTGTATGTACTGATACCAGTTGTAAATTATATAAACAATGCTCATGTAAAAAAAAATATAGGTCACAGTGACTTGTACATTAATCTGATGCAATGATCTAGTGCATGAGTTTATGTTGTTTAATGGTTCAACCAAGACAAAAACACAAATTTTCTACAAATCTATAACTACAGTTCCATAATTCCCAATGATCACTCAAAATATATATTAACTGTTTAAAATAAAAATATACAGATGGATTTTATTTATAAATGGTTTCCCTCAATACCATCAATGGATGACAAATTTTATGGGATGACACAAAACATTGTTTGTATTTTTAAACAAGTGCCTTTATATATTGGTATTCAGTTCTATTTCACTTACTTACAGAAGTTCTTACTCCAAACTTCAATACATTTATACTCTGCCACTTATAACATTAACAACAAACGCATAAAATATTTTCCAGTAACGATTTGAATGAATGATGTTAATAAAGGTCCACAGACTAGTCCTTAAAATGGCAGATCATGGTCAACTGAGCACTTTTCATTGTATTCTTGTTGAATAGCAGATTAATGATATGACATAGCACATACAAAGACTAGAAAGGAGATGATCATGACTTTGGATACACTCGTCGTTGGTTATATCGTTTTAAACCAGGCTGTGTTGTCGAGGATGAAGACATTTGTGATGGGTTGAATAACATAGGCATGGAAGGTGGTCCTGAAGATGGAGGAGGCATCTCAGTTGATTCAGTCTGAAATCAGAAAACAATCGAACTGTAAAGTTCTGAAGAAAAGATTAGAAATTTCTCTTTGATAACTCTAAAAAAGTTGCCCAATTTCAGCTCAAGCTGACACTTTTCAATAATCTCTATACTGCTTTCTGTTTGGGTATTTGCCCCCAATTCTTTATAAATACTTAGTTTTCCAAAAGTTTGTGGCTGTTGAGAATATACAACAAAGTAAGATCATTATGGTTCCTATATTTTACATTACATGTTTAGGACATTAACTTGGTAACATTTGTATGGCTACACAAAAGATTGTAGATACTTAATTTATTTAATCTTTGTTTATCAAATACAAATTGTAAGCTTGTCTAAAGAAATTTATTAAAATTGGAATTTTTAATTTTGTCTCTCAAGCAGGTAAATCCTTTTTCAAAAGTAATTTAAATTTATCGGCATGGGATCTGATATAATAAATAACAATGAAACAAAATGATAGTAAATGTAGTAAGAGTATCTCATACCTCTCCTGCATGAATTCTTTGGTCACTAGGGGGGTCATTAGATTGAGCAAGATTGACTTCTGGTTGACTAGAATCTGTTGTGTCTTTACTATGATCTGAAAAAATTTAATGTTTATTTAATAATATACAAATACATAAAAAAAAAGATACTTTCATTTCATTTGGGATTTAGCACAGTGATGGGCAAGATTCCTGTCAAAAATAATTGATTAATAACTGATAGCTTGATGGATTTTTGTGAAATTGATTACTTTAATTTTTTATGTAATAGATTACAACTACTACAGCCGATTGCATCGAGTGTGTAGGTAAAGGTAATATCTTTGGTTAGCTTGCTTGCTAGCTGAACCATGAAGTCATTATTAGGTTAGGTAAACTACCCTCCTTTAAGAGTAGACTAGTCCGTCAGATAACCAATCTATCTGTCTGTAGGACTAGGCTACTTCGAAAGGAGGGTAGTTTACCTAACCTAATAATGACTTCACAGTTCAGCTAGCAAGCAAGCTAACCAAAGATATTACCTTTACCTACACACTCAATGCAATTGGCTGTAATACAATTACAATCAAATATTTTATCAAATGTAATTACATTACTTTTCCATAACTGTATAAAAAAAAGGTTAAACATTATTCTGCTGTTTAACATATTTAAAGCATAGTCACTCAGCTAGCAGATATATATTTAAATCGTTGTAATTTGCCTTTAAGATCTATACCTTCAGTAGCAATGTCCAGTATACTATCTTTGTCTGCATACTAAACTAAGATTTTTATAGTTAAATCTGCATTCCACTATCCATGAAAAGTTGTTACTTATGGACAAAGGGCAACAATTGCATCGTTTCTTTCATTTTCAATAAATTGTAATTATCAAATAGAAGATATTACTTGATTTATATGTAAAATTAAACACTTGGTTGTTTTCAAAATAATCAATATCGGTTTTTTAAGACCTTACAAGATTATATTATACATATATGAGCCTCAACATGTGTTTTTAAAATAACTGAATTAATTTCTAAGGTCTTACTTGGGCTAAATATTGCAGGTGATGAGGCAGAAGAAGGCATCACATTAAATATATTGGATGGTACTGATGCTGTTCCTCCTGATGAAGATTTAGGGTTCATCACATCTACGTACTGGGTTCTCGCACCTGGAAATACAAATAAATTATATTACAATACAATTTATATATAAACCTTAAAGTTATTTCTTTTGAGAGGATTTCAGAACTTCAGAATTCAAGAGATAATATGAAAAACTAGATTTACCAATTACACTATGAAATACTAACAAAAGTTTTATAAACAAATTTAACAGTTTATTTATATACCAACTCTCTTATAAATGGTATAGAAAGAGTTATTATAACACTTAAACAAAACTAGTTGGTAAAATAACAAAACAACATTTGAAAGAGTAAATAGATAGAATACAATTAAAGTAAGGAGACAAGTCGGTTGTAACCAAAAGTTGTTCTATCTAGCTCTGAACACACAAACATTTACCAGATATACACATATAAACCATTACCCACTACACATACACAACAACATAACTGATATAACAACCTAAACAAGACACTTGTTTTGCCTGTAGAACTGAAATAAGTGAGTGTGTGAAGTGTTTTGCTCTATGCATCTGCACCACGGTTTCATTTTTAGTTAGTGTAAATTTTGGTAGATAACATCCTGTTTGAAATGGTATATATTTACCAATGTAAGCCTAATTACTTTATAATCTCAATAGTTTTTTATAACTTCAATATTTTAATGTGATCAGGGGCACACTTAGTAGTCATAGCGAGGGGTATTGTCCGATAAAATCTTGCAAAAAAGCACTGTATTTTCATAAAAAAAAATATGACATCAATTTATGAACGGCCTTCAAACCAAACTTGTTATCTGACTTTCTTGATTTGTCTGATTTTTATTGTCCTTTAAAAAACGAGACTGCCAGAAACTAAATTGAAAACAAAGTTAAGACGTACAACAGAACATCTAAGTTAAGAAATATAACTTCTTAATCATTTTGAAAAAAAAACAATATCAAAGGTTAGCTTCAATGTATGAAAAAAGGCAACATGGGAGTGCTACACATAACTGTAATGTCCCCTTAACCAATCATGCAGAAATTAATCTAAACAACAAACCAATAGAATCTAAAAAGAAATATGTCTCCATTAATTTCATGTTAGTGCTTTTTTTAACTGCACCTGACTCTAGACATTTTCAGTATCTCTAAATATTGGTTAGTAAATAGCTTTTTCTTATGAGGTTCTCAAATGTATTTCACATACTAATATTTCTTGACCAATCAATACTAAATCTAAGTTTAGCATTTTTTCTTTAATCAACACTGAACTATGAAATACTGTAAATAAAGTCTTAAAAAAAATATTAATGTGAAAACACTTATCTAATTAAAATTCTAAATCAATAAAATTGATGGGTTGAAGGAAAAACAATAAACAATAAATCCATGAAAAAGTTTGGTCCCCATGAATACCCCTTGCAAATACTATACATTATGGTTTCGAGTCTCTAAAAATTGATATTTATAATTTCTATGTATCAGAAATTATCAATTTGGAAGTGCCATTTGTTTTCTATTGACATACTTGACTAAAATCACACTCAATACATAAACCATATTATACCTCTGCCTCTTTGTCTGCCATATCTATTCCCTGCTGGAGGCCCCATGCCAGGGGTTGATGCAGAAGATGGTGGCATTGGTGCTGAAAAAAAAGCACACTATTCAATCTCAACTGATTTTACTTTAGTAGTTTATTTGCATTAATTTTTAACCTTTGAACTAAAAAAATCAACCTAATTTCTAACCTCCTTGTCAACAGCAACACAACTGTGACTATCAATACAACATAAAATAAACAAACTAAAGTTTATAAATGTAGGACAGCATGATTTCATACCAACTGGTAACAAACTTTTAGCTTTCAGTACCAGTTTTGTTTGTGGATGTATTTATGTTATATTTTATACAATTTTTCAGAAGAGGTAGCATCAGGGTTTCCCATGGGTCAATTTTATTTTTCGTCACCTCTTTCGCCAAAACAATATTTTTTTTTTGCCACTTTCAATTTTTTTCTCGCCAACTAACATATTTTAAAGTTGTCCTTCTTGCTAACCAAAAAACTAGTTTGTAGTGTTGATGTCTAGTCTGTTATAATTCTACATATCTTTTTTTAAACCAACATTATAATAGATAAGCATGTATTAATAACAAGAAATTACTAAATTTAAAGATACTGTAAAAAAGTAATATAAATCATCAAATCATCACATTTGACTTTGAGGAACACAGGATTCATTTCAATAAGTTTATCAGTTACTTCCCGCCTAGTTAAAGAATAAAGACTAAATTGCCAGAGATTTTTCTTTGTTACAACAGAATAACAGGTCTTTTCCAGACCATCGTTAAAAGAAAAAGTTGAGACGTTAAACTATGCTTCAAACACGTGTGTCGCTAAAACTATTGTCAAGTACCCACATCAAAATAATTATTTCTATCAAAGATGTAAATAAAATGCTCCGCAGGGCGCAGCTTGATACGACCGCAGAGGTCGAACCCTGAACAGTTGGGGGAAGTATGGACACAACATTCAAGCTTGATACAGCTTTGGATTTGGATTGTGATTAAATATCTGACACAGCATAGGTTTCTAACACAGATTGAATGTGGTCTAAGAACTTAAAAATTTTAAATTGGACATTCACCTATTATGGTCCAATATCCAAAATCTAAATACATGGTTAGATTCAGCATATCAAAGAACCCCAAGAATTCAATTTTTGATGAAATCAAACAAAGTTTAATTTTGGACCCTTTTGACCTCAATGTGGACAAAGTTGATAACGGGGCCCAAAAATCAAAAATCTAAATACATGGTTAGATTCAGCATATCAAAGAACCCCATATATTCAATTTTTGTTGAAATCAAACAAAGTTTAATTTTGGACCCCGATTTGGACCAACTTGAAAACTGGGCCCATAATCAAAAATCTAAATACATGTTTAGATTCAGCATATCAAAGAACCCTAAGAATTCAATTTTTGTTAAAATCAAACTAAGTTTAATTTTGGACCCTTTGGACCTTAATGTAGACCAATTTGAAAACGGAACCAAAAATTAAGAATCTAAATACACGGTTAGATTCGGCATATCAAAGAACCCCAAGAATTCAATTTTTGATGAAATCAAACAAAGTTTAATTTTGGACCCTTTTGACCTCAATGTGGACAAAGTTGATAACGGGGCCCAAAAATCAAAAATCTAAATACATGGTTAGATTCAGCATATCAAAGAACCCCATATATTCAATTTTTGTTGAAATCAAACAAAGTTTAATTTTGGACCCCGATTTGGACCAACTTGAAAACTGGGCCCATAATCAAAAATCTAAATACATGTTTAGATTCAGCATATCAAAGAACCCTAAGAATTCAATTTTTGTTAAAATCAAACTAAGTTTAATTTTGGACCCTTTGGACCTTAATGTAGACCAATTTGAAAACAGAACCAAAATTTAAGAATCTAAATACACAGTTAGATTCGGCATATCAAATAACCCCAATAATTCAATTTTTGATGAAATCAAACAAAGTTTAATTTTGGACCCTTTGGACCTCAATGTGGACCAATTTAAAAACGGGGCCCAAAATCCAAAAACTAAATGCACGGTTAGATTCAGCATATTAAAGAACCCCATGAAATCAAGAATAAAACCCCATTGAAATTGGTCAAGAAATAAGCAATTTATAGGAAGTATCTTCTTTTGCACAATCCTGTGCTATTAAATATTTCTTGCTATTGCGCAATACTGTACAATTGACAATTTCTTGCTATTGTGCAATATTGTGCTATTGGATATTTCTTGCTATTGCGCAATACTGTGCAATTGAAGATTTCTTGCTATTGCGCAATACTGTGCAATTGAAGATTTCTTGCTATTGTGCAATACTGTGCAATTGAAAATTTCTTGCTATTGCACAATACTTATTATATAATAATTTACACATCCTGTTTGGTGTGTATCGCCTTCCATATCATTATTATTTGATTTTAAATATAAATCAGAAATAACCAACTTAAAATGGAAAATTTTAAAAGAAACAAAAAAGGAAAAAAAGAAAAAAAAGGAAAAAAAAATAAATCCCCCCCAAAAATTTTTTGAACCCCCATTATGATTCATCACCCCCAAACTCAATCCCAGCCTTCCCTTTGTGGTATGGTACCTTGCAGTACAATTTCAGAGAGATTCATACACTTGAACACAAGTTATTGTCTGGAAACTAGAAAAAAATGTGTTTTTTGGCCCCTTTTTGGCCCCAAATTCCTAAACGTTTAGGGCAATTACCCCCAAACTCAAACCCAGCTTTCCCTTTGTGATATGGAACCTTGTAGTACAATTTCAGAAAGATCCATACACTTACACACAAGTTATTGTCATGAAACTAGAAAAATGCTTGTTTTTTGCCCCTTTTTTGGCCCCTAATTCCTAAAATTTGGAGGCAATTACCCCCAAAATCAATCCCAGCATTCCTTTAGTGATATTGAACCTTGTGGTACAATGTCAGAGAGTTCCATACACTAACACACAAGTTATGTCTGGAAGTTACAAAAATGCTTATTTTTGGCCCCTTTTTGGCCCCTAATTCCTTTACTGTTATTACCATAACCTCCAAAATCAATCCCAACCTTCCTTTTGTGGTATTGAACCTTGTGGTAAAATTTCATAAAGATCCATTCACTTAAATTAAAGTTAGAGTGCGAAAACCAATGTGTCTTCGGACGACGCCGGACGACGCCGGACGACGACGACGACGACGCCGACGCCAACGTCATACCAATATACGACCACAAAAATTTTTTTGCAGTCGTATAAAAATCCATCGAGTGACTTGTAAAGCCATTTAACCAAGCAATTTCATTAAACAATACAATCAACACCTTTATCAATTAGTCCATTGTTGCAGATAATTATAAAATGCTATCAGCTGATTATTGATTTTTTGTCAAAATCGTAACATGTGACGAGTTCAAGGTGAAATCCCAGGGAAAAAGTCCGTGAACTTGCAAAAAATAAACAAAATAGACAAAGTTGAATCTTCTTTCACCAATGATGAATTTTAATCGCCACAATTTTTATTTTTTCACAAAATGCAAAAATTTTCGACCGCCAGCGAAAACTCTGGGAAGCAGGAGGTTTATGATATAAGTACTGTACCTGCTGAGGAAGATAAGTCCATGTCTTTAGGAGGGGGAGGAGGTGGTTTTTCATCTTCAACATCACCATCCTGATTAGTCCATCTCTTTTTGACAGGATCCCATACAATCTGCATTAAATTGAAACCTCTTTAATAACATTAAATAACATTGAGAACCATAAAAACAAACATGGCTTCATGACAATATTTAAATGATGTGCAACCTTTGTTAGAAGTTTCATTAACTCTCTTTGTTAGAAGTTTAATTTACTCTGTCAAATAGATTAGCGCAAGTTGTGCAATCAGATAAAAGTGCAAGTTCAATTATGAATTCTCTTTCAGATGTAACACTGAAATTATCTAATTAGTAGAAATCTTCACATCTGGATGTTACACTATATCTTTGAATGGAAATTCATTGAAATCCATCACACTGTTTTGGAGGAGTTTTGCTTACAATGTGAAATTGTTGATTTTAATGTTTCAGTATTTCCCTGAAGATTTGGTACTGGAATTGAAACTTCATACATATTGTCATAGGGATAAGTTTCATTTAAATCCATATATTGGTTAAGGAGTTATGCTATTACAAAGTAAATTAAGTATCATATGTTGAATTAAACTTGATCAATAACTTTTAAATTATCTCCCCTTCAAGATACTGGATCATAATTACTTCTTCAGCTTCATAAATATTTTCATATGGTGTACTATCTGTGTGTGTTAATTCATTAAAATCCATCTGATGGTTTACGAGTTGTGTTCACAAGATTCAGACATACAGAAATCTGGTTGGAAGGATAGGGTGTTTCCTATATAACATCTCCTTTCTTTACTGATGTATACAGATAATACCTGATCTATTCTTTTATACAATAGATTGATTGATTGATTGAATGGTGTTTAATGCCACTTTCAGCACTGTTGGCTATTTCTGGCGGGCAGTTTCTATTGGTGGAGGAAGCCAGAGTGTCTGGAGAGAACCACGAACTTCAGTAGAAAAACTGACAATCCTAGTAAATTAAGAATATTTTTCAATGCACCTGCCACTTGCAGAACTTGAAATCACAACCTCAGTGTTGACAGGCTAGTGATACAGTAGTTGAACAACTTAGACCAATCAGCCAACAAGGCCCCTTTTTATATAATAGAGAAGATAAGCTAACTTACTGATGGGTCACTGTCATCAGGTAATTTCATTTCATTTTTAGATTTTGGCAACAGTTTACTGAACACTCCACCAAACCAACCTTTACTCTGTAAGTAAACAAACATGATCAATAACAATAGAATTTCTTGTAGTAAAGGAAAAATCACTATACAATACTGTGTTCATGTCAACTGTAGTTGGTGTATTAATTATTTGTAATTTTTTATTTGATAATTTCAAAATAGTCTGAAGCAGTTTCAAAATTGTTTAATTGACAGTTATAGCTATTTATTCAATTGTTTCATGAATTAGAATTTTGATATCATGCCAAATTATCTTTCTCTATACTTGGTTGACATTTCTTCTCAATTATGGCTTCTAGTCATAGTTTTGTCCATGTATATTTTATTCATGTTTGATGTTTACACCTGTGTGAGCCAAATTTTTCTGAAGGTTTTTAACTATTACTTCTCTTTTTCTTAGACTATCTATAATTTCCTGAAAGTTTGATTATATTTTAATAACTAATGTGTGGTTTGCATAATATAGGTTCTTCATTGGTAGAAATTCAATTATGACGTGAAATTTTCTTGCCAATCAGGGAAAAAAGGCAACTATGTTTGATGACACTCACAGAAAGAGCATAATCTTTTTGCAGAGCATTCAAAAAGAAAGTTAAAGAATCCTTACCAATATTATCTTGTGAGATAAGATATTTCTCCATTCTTGATGGTTAAAACTAAAAAGTTTGAGGGGAAATATTGTATCACACTAGATGTAGCGGAATAATCTATATTTATAAAATGATACAATGATCATGGTTTGCGTTTAAAAGTTAACTGACAAATTCAGGTTTTGAGTAGATCTTTGTCTGTGTTCTAGGTTCTGATACAGCCAAAGGCATCTAATTTACTTGTGTCTGAGGTTTTTCTCAGTAATTTTTGGATTAGAAACCATCTCACGATATTAAGTAGTTCCTAATGAAGACTAAGGTATATTATTTACCTGTCCTTGAGTTTTTTTCCCAGTAATATCTGATTTTGAGTCTGTCTTAGTACTGGGTTCTGATGAAGACTTTGAGGTACTGTTATTAACTTGACTACTCTCTGATTCTGTTCTCTTTCTTAATCGTGGGGGTACTATTTTCTACAAAATACAAAAAAATTGTAATAAGAATGCACATGATATCGTGCTTACCATACCCAACTCATAGTTCAGAGTATCAGAAAACAGCAAGCAGGGTTGCATTTAATATTGTAGCAGCTAGGATAGCCGCTATGTCCTAGATATCTATCTATGTTGACTGATATGCTACGTAGGTAGGCTATCCAAATAACGTCATTATCAATAACCTATCCAATGCCATTTTGGATTCTCTAGATAGCATGAATTTTTAAAGCTATCTACATCTATTTAGCAGCAAGGCTAGCTATACATTCAGTAGTTAAACTCTACGTATCCCTACGTAGCAGCTATGATATTGAACGCATCCCAGGTGACTTACAGATCTGAAGAGCACAAACTTTACAACTAATCACTTCTGAGCTGCTGAGCAAATATGAGGTCATACAGTTCAATAATATTTGAGTAATGTGTGACGAAGTATGTTAAGTTCATTCAGCATATTGAAAAATTCAAATGATCAGCAGTTAGGAAGTAGGTAACAGACAGATTCAATAAACTGCTTCGCTGAGCGCAGCTAGATACGCCCGCAGAGGTCCAACCCTGAACAGTTGGGGCAAAAATGGACACAATATTCAAGCTTGATTCAGGTATGAATTTGGATTGTAATTAAATATTTGACATATTATAGATTTCTGAATAAATGTAGTCAAAGAACTTGAAATTGGTTATATGAATTGAATTTATATTCAATTAAATATTTCTTGCTGTTGTGCAATACTTTAATAGTATATTTGTTGTCAGACTATAAACAAATAAAGTTCAATTAATTCTCAATGTCATATCAGAAATTTATGAAAATAAAAAGGGAGCTTACATCAATAGATATAAACAATTCACCAAAGTTTCATGAGAATTGGTGACAGCATTTTTGAGTTATTGTCAGAAGACTGGAAAATCATCCCTTTTTTTAATGAATAAAACCCCATAACTCAGAAATGTAAAATGTAAAATTTATAAAAATCTAAAGGGAGCTTACATCAATACATACAAACAATTCACCAAAGTTTCATAAGAATTGCTGAAAGCATTTTGAACAGTTGGGGCAAAAATGGACACAATATTCAAGCTTGATTCAGGTATGAATTTGGATTGTAATTAAATATTTGACATATTATAGATTTCTGAATAAATGTAGTCAAAGAACTTGAAATTGGTTATATGAATTGAATTTATATTCAATTAAATATTTCTTGCTGTTGTGCAATACTTAGTATATTTGTTGTCAGACTATAAACAAATAAAGTTCAATTAATTCTCAATGTCATATCAGAAATTTATGAAAATAAAAAGGGAGCTTACATCAATAGATATAAACAATTCACCAAAGTTTCATGAGAATTGGTGACAGCATTTTTGAGTTATTGTCAGAAGACTGGAAAATCATCCCTTTTTTTAATGAATAAAACCCCATAACTCAGAAATGTAAAATGTAAAATTTATAAAAATCTAAAGGGAGCTTACATCAATACATACAAACAATTCACCAAAGTTTCATAAGAATTGCTGAAAGCATTTTTGATTTTTTGTCCGAAAACTGGAAAAACCCCCCTTTTTTTATGAATAAAACCCTGTAACTCGGAAACGTAAATTCTAAAATTTATAAAAATCAAAAGGGAGCTCATGTCAATAGATATAAACAATTCACCACAATTTCTTGCAAGTTGGTGAAAGCATTCTTGACTTATTGTCCGAAAACTGGAAAATCCCCCTTTTTTTAATGAATAAAACCCCATAACTCGGAAACCTAAAATCTAAATTTTATAAAAAATGAAAGGGAGCTCACGTCAATAGATATAAACAATTCACCAAAGTTTTATGCAAATTGGTGAAAGCATTTTTGAGTTAATGTCCGACATGTTGACGAGGGACAGACGGACGGACAGACGGACGGACAGATGGACAACAGTATACCATAATACGTCCCGTAAACGGGCGTATAAAAAGTATAAACACATTTACAAATCGTCACTGTCCAGCTGATGACCAAATATGAATTCATTCTCCTTCGTAGATCATGAGAAAAGTTGGATGAAAATTTTGTAAGAGAAACTGACAGCTGGACAAGGTGATTACAATAAATCCCCCACTCCTAAAGTAAGGTTATATCTGGGCGTAAATATCTTTTAGATTCCAGCACTTTTTTGCTTTTGCATCTCAGCGAAAGTTAAACATATTTGTCGACTTGTGTAGTAATTGTGTGAAATTAAGCAAAATACTTAATTAAGATAAATACATATGTACTGCGAGTTGTTTCTGACTGCCAGCTGATGTAATATGTATTACAAAACATTATTTGGGGGGTATTTTAATAAAACCATTATCTATATCATTTCAAATAATAAATACAGCAGTTCTCTATCAATCTTTCCACTGATGATTAGTTGGCATGTAAACGAATATTGATTTTAAGAATAACATTGAGTTTAGGACATGATGTGTGCTTCTTCTCATTTACAAAATCTGAAGAAAAATAACAAGTACCTGTGTGTTAGTAGCTGCTCCAAAGTAATCAAAGTCATTTTTTTGTGAGTTTCCCAGTCCTTCTTCATCATCTGTATCAGCGTGACTACTTACAGTACCGATAGATGACATACTGTTTCTGTGTCCTGCCTCTGACTGGAGACCTGCATTGTGGTACATACTGAAATCATTTGGTTGTGAGTAATGTTGCTGCTGCTGCGGTTGTTGCTGATATGTTGTTGTCTCCCCTACAATTAATTAGCATATTAGTAAGATACTTGACTCAGTATAGATATCAAACTTGAAGGTTCAGTGAGATTATATTTTACTCATCAATATAAATAATATATATATATATTTATAAATACAATATCACAACTCCAATATTTTGGTAGAGTATCTACATATTTTAGAGTACTATTTTTCAATTCTAAATTATTTCATAATTTTTCCCCTGCAAACAGTCAGCACTTCCAGTAATTTTTCCTTTACAATCAGTTTTGATGCAAGCAAAATGGCAAGCATCCCCATTTCTGTATTCAAAATGAATATAAATGTTGTGCATTGATATGTTGTATAGATTTTAATCATATATTAGGTATTGTTCATTTTGTAAAATTCTGTTGTCAATTTGTACAATTCTAACACTTTACCCTACTGCATCCATAACCATGAGAATTACCATGACTGGTGTGTGGTTGGAATTTAAAGAACAACTGAAAACTTGAATGTGTATATTGGACTGTTTGTTCATAATCTTGACCTTAAATTCTGTCAAACTTTTAATCAGTGTTGATTGGTTACATCACCACAGCAGACAATATCATCAAACAGCTAACACAGCAGACAATATCATCAAACAGCTAACACAGCAGACAATATCATCAAACAGCTAACACAGCAGACAATATCATCAAACAGCTAACACAGCAGACAATATCATCAAACAGCTAACACAGCAGACAATATCATCAAACAGCTAACAAAGATGTTTGTGCAAAGATTATTTTCCATTTGATAACATTTAACCCATCTTTGAGAACAACCCTTGAAAATAGGAACATGATCAACTTCACCCCAAAATAACCATATCAACTTGAAAAAGGAACTTCCTAAACATATCAGTTTTATAGTATTGTATTCCTAGTTTTGGTTGGTTGATACAAAAAATTGTTGACATTAATCAATTCTGACCTGTCTGGTTTTCTGTGTTGTATTCTTGATTCTGATTGGTTGTCTCTGGAACTGATGCAAGATCATGAGGTTGGTACTGATAACCTTCATAAAATAAAATTAATAAAAATTCAGAAGCTTTCTTTTGAACAATCATGTACCTACATGGTACTTTCCTTATAATAAGATTTGCCGGTCGGAAAAGTTAGCTAGAAATTGATTAACTGCTTTATGCTTTAATCTTAAATAAGCACAATAAAGTTTGATCTATGCCTCTTTCTTTAAAATCAGAGTAATCTCATGGCTGTTGTTAAGAGGTATAAACAGCTGCGCCATGAGCGCATGATACGCCTGTTGCATTTTTTAAAAATAAAGTTCAATAACTTCTCAATGTCATATCAGAAATTTGTGAAAAACTAAAAGGAGGTTATCTTAATTGATATAAACCAGTCACCAAAGTTTAATGAAAACTGCTCAAAGCACTTTAAAGGTATTGTCCGAAAACTAGAAAATCACCCCTTTTTTATGAATAAAATCCCATAGCTCGGAAGTGTAAAATCTAAAATTTATAAAAATTAAAAGGGAGCTCACATCAATAGATATAAATAATTCTCCAAAGTTTCATGAGATCTACTGAAAGCATTTTTGAGTTATTGTCCGAAAACTGGAAAATCCCCCTTTTTTTAAATGAATAAAACTCCATAACTCGGAAACATAAAATCTAAAATTTATAAAAATCAAAAGGGAGCTCATGTCAATAGACATAAACAATTGACCAAAGTTTCTTGCAAATTACTGAAAGCATTTTTGAGTTATTGTCCCAAAACTGGAAAATCCCCCCTTTTTTAATGAATAAAACCCCAGAACTCAGAATCTTAAAATCTAAATTTTATAAAAAACGAAAGGGGGCTCACATCAATTGATATGAACAATTCACCAAAGTTTTATGTAAATTGGTTGAAGCTTTTTTTAGTTAATGTCCGACCTGTTGACGACGGACGGACGAACAGACGGACAACGGTATACCATAATACTTTTTTTTGAAAAACCTGGAATACCTTTTCATTCATTATCATTTAGTCTAAACACCTCTTTACTTATTTCATAATAGCCATATTTTGATCAATATAATGAACTGTTACTATCTACAATAGGTTCTATTTATAACTTAGTTACAGTTATATAAAAATCCATCAGTGAGTACTAATTTTTGTAATGCTTATTGAAACTGGTTTAATATTCAAATTGATGAAAGCATCAGGTCTACCGTTACTATTTTACCTAAGGCTATTTTGGAAAGTTAAGACCATACTAAATTTTGAACTAAAGTATAACTCAATCAACTGAAATATCTAAAAAAATACAATCCTCTATAAAATGAACATGTCTCTAAAACAAGTTGGCTACCTTGCAGAACACACCCATTGTATTTATTGTTATTTGTTCTCGTCCTGAACATGCATGAAATATTTGCCACTGAACGTTAAGCAAACAACAATCACACAATCAATATAAATGATGGTGAACTTTGATTGAGACTAAATACATACCTGTTTGTCCTTCCTGTGCAGTGTACTGTTGATTCTGCTGATAATTCGCCTGCTGATTTTGGTACATCTGTCCTTGATTTGTATAACCTTGACTTTGATAACTTTGACCTTGATCAACTGTTTGCTGCTGTTGCCCAGTTTGGTAACCCAGTGACTGGTCTCCACTATAACCCTGATTTTCTACAATCTCTCCTTGCTGACTTTGATTTTGCATGAGATCAGGTGTACCCTGATTCTGAGCCTGATTAGTCACATTTCCTTGGTACTGTGTCTGATCACTTGCATACATTTGATTTTGAGTCTGATCAACACTATATCCTTGGTTGTAAATCTGCTGACCTTGACTTTGTGGGTAGGGACTACTTCCTGTATAATGCCCTGACTGCATCATATTCATTTCAGTCAGTCCTGCTACCTCTCCACTAGCACTACTTGATCTGGTACCAACAAAACAATATGGTGTGACACTTCCTGATAATGGCTGTATGGAACCATCCTGTTTAAACAAAATTAGGTCTTTAACAGTAAATCGTTTTATCCTGCAATCAGCCAACTATTGTACAAATGGCAGGTACACAAATAATTTTTTGCTTTATTTGTACTTGTACAAATAAAGTCTCCTGTTACCCCTCTTCCAAGTTGAGCAAGCAGTAATGTGCATATTTCTTTTTGCGTACCAGTTCATTTTGGGGTCCTCTTTGCGGTCCGCGTTTTAACTATGTCAATTTCTTTGAAAAATTAGAGACAATGATTTAGATTTTAACAACTAAAGTTTTAAGTGTTGGGTGTAAATTTCAGGATAAAAACAATATATGTACATTGTTGGAAAATATAAAATTTCTTTGTACTCGCTGCAAAACAGGAGAAAAGCTTGGCGAGCCTCGCTTTTCGTCCTGTTTCTAAAGCTCATACAAATAAATTTTATATTTTCCAACAATGTACATATATTGTATATTACTAAGTATACAACAAGCAAACAGCCTTAACATTTCTAAAAAGACACTCACATCATTTACAGTTTGACTTTTCAATAGGTCAATAAATAGCTGTATCCAAATATTTTTTTTTAACCTTGAAACTAGTTAACAAACATTTACTGCAAACTAATTATTACTTTCATGTCCATAAAAATGTATCAGAAACTACCATAGTATCCGTCACACCTCACCGTCACACCTCATATGTCATGCTTGAAATAAAAGGAACAACTTATGTAGAATATATAATGTATACCTCATATCCCTGATTTATTCTGTATAAATGTTGTAACCACATTGGATCCTCACTATCCTCTCCAACTTGTTGCTGCTCTGGGTCAAATTTCTTTAACCGACTGGCAAGCTAATAGAAAATGTAAATAAACAAATGTTAATCCTTTCAACTTAAACCAGTTGATTCAATGATTTTATTCCTCTAATCTTTTCTGCTAGCAATAAATGAAGTAAGGTAACAATTCACAAAGTCTTTACTTCAGTTCCTGAAGGTAAATCAAGAAAAGTGCCTCAAACGTAACAAATCGTTCTGACAGTTTATTTTCATTTTTCTGGCTTCATCTTTGATTTTTTAAATTGAATAAAAGAAGAATGTGTCCATGGGACACAGATGCCCCCGCTTGTAAATATGCAAGAATCAATATGCTAATTCAAACCTATAGACGTTTTATTTTCTTGGAAACTTAAAAGACATCTGTTTCTGTATGTTGAGTGCGCAAACAAATTTCAGCAATTTTCCATTTATAAAGAGAAATAGCTTAAGAAGTGGAAAAGTGATGTCACCCAAATTCGAACTAGATCTGAGTTTCGTGGTAATAGGCATTGTGTATAAGTTTCATAACATTTGGTTGAGGTTAACTAAAGTTAGCGTACAGAAACCAATTTCAGGACTTACATATTTCCAATCTATGTTTTTTTTTAACTACCTCAATATGTCAGATCAGACATCTTCTAAATATATTTTTAATCGGATAATGTAACTGGTAATGTTTTTATGGATATTCAGGAAGATTGTCCTTTATATTATAAACTTACTGAGCTGATGATAATTTATTCTATGCAGACTGACTTTATATACTAGATATAAGAAGATGTGGTATGAGTGCCAATGAGACAACTCTCCATCCAATTCACAATTTGTAAAAGTAAACTATTATAGGTCAAAGTACGGTCTTCAACATGGAGCCTTGGCTCACACCGCACAGCAAGCTATAAAGGGCCCCACAAATTACTAGTGTAAAACCATTCAAATGGGAAAACCTTTATATACTACATACCTCATATACTAATTTGACAAGTGTTGGTTGAAAGACTGTAGGTGAAATATTTATAAATTTTGCTATAACTTCACAATATTCCAATGCCTGCAAATATAAGTACAGTAAGTTTAATTATTAATTCAGAATTTAATACATGTATTTATCATTGCTAATTTTCCAACAACTGACATTAAAGATGGATTTAATAAAGTCTATTTTTTGTAAGTGCTTTAGTTGAATACTACAAGCAATAATTGAAATTTGCTTTTACATCAACTCAATATCTATCCAATATCATTTTTTTTTGCACCTTTGAAAACATTGGTAAAATTTAAATTTGACGTAAATTGGCCAAACAGATTTTTATTCTTACTATAAGACAAACCAGAAATTTATATAAAATAATCTTAATTTAAATTTCAACACATTTTGAAGCATTCTCTCAAAAAATTTGTTTACATTTGAAATTGCAGCATGCAATATTGATCACATAAATAAATCACTGAATGGACTTAGCATTAAGAGGTCATACCTGCTGAGCAAATCCATTTTCTGCCAATCTGCATGCATATAGATATTTGAAGTACTGAAAAATATGAATATGATAATAATACCTTGATCAAACTTAATTTTTGTGAGATGGGAAATTGTTATTCTGTAAACTTCAGATTTATTTTAGTTAAAAGTAGCATACATTGAGCTTCCCTTTTCTTAAGTTAATAAATGATTGTTAGACTCATATATAATATTAACTAGTTATTTATTATATTAAAAAAATTATTCTTTCAAAAACCCTGTGAATGAGTCATTTAACTAAGTCAAAAGTAATTATACCCCTAATTTAAGTTTTCACAGAAAGGATATCACATGATTGACTGATTGTTGCTTATTTAATGAAAACTTACAGCTAGATCATTTGACTGTGAACTAAATACTAATACTAGAAACTAATACAATATTTATACAAACCTGTAAATTAGGTGAGAAGAATGAACTATTACCAAGAGACATGGCATATTCATACACTTCAGAACACTGTATAGCTTCATTAGTAGCAAACTCTGACAGCGACAAGCTATGGTTAGATCCTATTAGCACCATTTTAGAAGTCTTTTTATGATAGGAACCAAATCCTGCTTGTGCCATCAAGTAACAGAAGTGACTAGCATGTAAAAATCCTCTGGAGGCTGAAATAATATAGAAAAAATCTAAAAACCAAAGTACATTCTCACTTTCATCTTTTAATAATCAGCTAAAAAAGTAAACACAAATTGATTGTTTGTTGGGAGTTTAACATCACTTTTCAAGCAGGAGTTCCCAAAGAAAATCACTGATTTTCGGCAGGACAACTGGCTTTCCTAGTCAATAAAGAAAGATGTTAACCAACCTGCCATGACTGAGTTCAACTCACAACCTAGTGATTGCTGTAAATAAACTACTTATACCAAACGGCCACCAAGGCCATCGTCAGCATAGAAGGAATCAAACTCAATATTTCATATTTAAAAAATGCGATATTATTACTTTGTCAGTAATAATACAGATGGAAGTGTGTCACAAAAAACATCTTAACAGGTAAACTTAATTTATATATGAAGCATTCAATAGATTCACTTTTTTTAAGCTAAACACATACAGGTAAAAGGTACAGCTGTAGAAATATCAGAAGAGTCAATCAAAAGGATGATTATTCAGCAATTGTCTTTCATGTATTAACCTGGAGAAACTTAATTAAAAATTTGATCAGGTATTTAAGAAAGATATACATATTCACATGTGTAAATAGATACAAGAAGATGTGGTATGAGTGCCAATGAGACAACTCTCCATTCAAGTCACAATTTGTAAAAGTAAACCATTATAGGCCATATACCCTGGACCTGATCTCTATCAATTCACCTTTTGGTTATTTTCTAATTTCATTTTACCTATAATTTTTTATAAAGTAATCAATCCAATTAAGATGCATTTGGATTTGTTGAAATCTACAAACATTTTATTTAAAAAAAAAAAAATGACCTTGACCAATGAAAAATACAAATGTGTGTAGCCAGACAATAACCTTAATCAAGTTACCTAATATATCCCCCATTGTCATTATACATTTTCTATTTAAGTCTGCCTTATGTGTCTGGTTAGACAACATCATAGCTAAATGTGGTCTCCAATCTCCCCATTTCTCATCAGTTATTCACATTAACTTACCTAAAGTATCCCCCATTGTCATTATACATTTTCTGTCTAAGTCTGCCTTGTGTGTCTGGTTAGACAACATCATTGCTAAATGTGGTCTCCAATCTCCCCATTTCTCATCAGTTATACACTGCAATGTAAACCAGTTATTATTTATGATATATGAAAACTGCAAGTCAGTAAATATTTTACACATTTTAACCCAATGATTCATGTTTTCATTGTAAAGGAGTGATATGAAATTAACAGCTATTTTATTGTGTACTTAAAAGAGTACATAAATTTTGTTTAATGAACCATCTTTGAATATTGTTTTTATTGGTATACATATTGATTTGTTATCAGTAAATTAAAACCATACTAAATATTACACATACATGTATGTACTCTCACAGTACTACAATCTGCCGATACCTATACATGTAGTTTGGCATTGCATAAGGTCATGTTTTCCTCTGACTGTTAATGACTTCTTTACACTAAATCCATTGGATGTTGGATGTGTACTGAATGAAATTTTAGTCTTAAATACATGATTTTTTTATTAGTTGTTACTGGCTTTGAACTAGTTGTCAGTAACTGCCAGTACTCTCAGATCTGTACTTAAAAAGTCTTTTTGTTGTGGGGATGTATAAGTACTTTCCACGTCCACTCTGTGTTTTTGTTCGATGTATTTCTATTTGTATCAATCTGATGAGTTAAGCCTTTTTCAACTGATTTTTATAGTTTGTTCTTATGTTGTACTGTTACACCACTGTCCCAGGTTAGGGGAGGGTTGAGCGCTCATGAACATGTTTAACCCCGCCACATTCTTTATGTGCCTGTCCCAAGTTCAGTGGTTGTTGTTGGTTCATGTCTGTCATATTTGTTTTTTCGTAAACTGTATTGTTATAAATTAGGCCAATAGTTTTCTCAATTTAATTACTTCATATTTTTCATGTCTGGGCCTTTTATAGCCGACCATACGGTATGGTTTTTTCTGATTGTTGAAGGCGGTAGGGTTGCCTTTAATTGCTTACATCCATTTCATTTGAACTTTGGTGGACAGTTGTCTCATTGGCAATCATACCACATCTCCTTATCTTTACATGGATTCTTTATTAGGTGTTCTACAAAGTTTTCATACAGGGTCTACAGGTATCCTTTTGTTACCTGTTCTATGAATTGATATAATGATGATGGATTGCTGTTCAACGTCCATTGGCAATATAAGTGCATATTAAAGTGATATGAATATGATCCCTGTATTGTATTAGATTGACACGCTGAGCCAGATTTTTCAGAAGCTAGATTACAAGATACCAGTCTACAGACATGTCACCCTACCTGGACACTTTATTCTGACTCCGGACTGACCAGTCTTTATTCTAACTCTTAAAGTCTTTTTAAGAATTGCTTTACTACTTAAAAAAAATATTTAAATATAAAAAATTCGTAAGGGTTCAAAGGAACCCAGTGTCTCGCCTACTTTTGCTGTTAATCGCAGGCTCAACAAAAATAAGGAGAAAAATTAATAAAATATATTCCTCTCTATACTATCTTTTGATTGTAAGTAGCTTCTGTCCAAGTTTGGTAAAAATCCAGGATAGTTTATGATTCTAAAAAATGTTTTAAAAACTTAAACTGCAGACTGTATGTAATGTTAACTGGAAGAAAAACTAAGTCCATTTATAAGTAAAATACGGAAAAAATTGAACAAGATTTTAACAAAATTTCCTTCTAGATACTAGCTTTTGATCATGAACAAGCTTCTGTCCATGTTTGGTACAAATCCAAGATAGTTTAAGAAAGTTATTAAAATTTCAAAAACTTTAACCACAGAGTGTATGTAATGTAAACTGGCAGAAAAACTAAGTCCATTTATAAGTAAAATACGGAACAAAATGGATTTTTTTTTTACAAAATTTACTTTTGAATATTATCTTATGATCATAAACAAGCTTCTGTCCAAGTTTGGTAGAAATCTAGGATAGTTTGAGAAAGTTATTAAAATTTCAAAAACTTTAACCACAGAGTGAATATTTGTGGACGCCGCCGCCCCCGGAATGTAGGATCGCTATGTCCCGCTTTTTCGACAAAAGTCGAAGGCTCGACAAAAATTAATGATTAAGCTTCCTCTTTTCATGAATTTTAGATGGGAATTTGCTTACAAGACATAATGATTGAAAAATATGTTTTGGCTTAAAATTTTTACAATTTTTGACTGTATTTTGTATAGGAAACTTACAGAGACTGCAGCTGGTTGTCTACCTGACATGAGTTGAAACAGTGTTTGTAAGGGGTCATTCATCTTCATAGCACTATTGGCAAACCTGAAATATAACAAGAAATAAAAATGCTTGAACATAAATTGGAAACTAACTTCAAATGTAAAAAAAACTTATTTACCGATTACAATTGGATTACTGTGGATTCATTTTTTTTTTTTGGAAAACAATTTTCATGGATCAAGTAAAATTTTCATTTTCATGGATATTTGATATCCTGGTTTTTGCCAAATTATGTGTATAAGAACTTAGAAAATTTGTAGATTGTGGAAGATTTAAGTGTGTGGTTCACCTGTACCCAGGAAATCCACAATGGACCTTGAGGTTTACAATAATAGTCTAGTCTACCTTATATACATGTTTCAACATGTCATTTACTAGCATGTGATAATTTGTTGTAATTTCCTTGTGTACGAAAAAAAGCAATTTTTTCATAAATTATCCTTTAATGTCCCTTCTCCGTTACAACATTTCTCTTTACCTTGTCATCACATTAGCATGTGCTTTGGTATCCATTTTACTAGCTAGGAATAAGGCATGGCCCCAGAGGTTGTTCTTCATAGCCCACTCTAATGCATCCTGTAATATAGAATTATTAAACTTATACCAGTTAATATATCAGAGATCATTCAACTGGGCGACTAAGGCCAAAAAGTCTCATTCCTGTATATCACTTAATTTGCCCAGCCCAAAGTCCATATCAAGTCACCCTGCTTTTCTAACAGTTACCCTTGTCATCAGTAAACTTCCATTCTGATGCAACAGCAATTTTTCATTTATCAGCAAAAAATTTATAAAAAAACGTAGACAATTTATTCATTGGGAAACAAAGTGAAAGGTTGACATTGACAAATGATTATGTAATCTTTCAAAGGAACAAAGTTGTATACAAACCAATCATGATGTTTTCTTTCACTTTCTGCCATTGTTACACAAGCCTTCATCAAATAATTTTGATTTTCAGCAATTTAAATTGTTAACTTCATCAAACTGTCATTAAAATTACCTTGAAATAGTGTTTGACACATAAATTTCATTATAAACATCATGTTTCTTGTCAAACTGCTTTTCAAAGATGATTTATTTTATAAAATTTGTCAGACACCAATTTGCAAATAAAACTAAGCACAGACAGGATCAAGAAAGGAGAAGGACCATACCAAGTGTATATCATTGTATATATATCTATGCAAATGCATTGAGCATTGATGTAATTCATTTTCGTTGATTTCATTTACTTAAACTTGTTAAATTTATACAGTCTTTAGAGAAACACAATAAGATAATTATCCTCATTGAATTTTAACTAATAAATGGTTATTTTTTTTTCGCTTGTCTTTTAAATCTGCTATAATACAATATTTTACATTGTAGTACAGTCACCTGACTAATGGTCTTATAATTATTTCAAGGATGGATGACCTCTTCACTTATTTACATTACCTTTTTCCTTCCATACAATAATAAATGTCTAAATCTATCTGTGACCTCTTCTCTTGACCTTTGTTTGTTGACAACAGATCGGTCCATTGTTACAGTTGATATATCATTTGTCTCATCTAAATCATCTAGATTGTCCGTACTGTTAGATATTTTCATTCCCATTATACTATATTCCATTGTGGTGGGTTCATGACCTGCTAACAACAAATCTGCTATATCTGTTCCTATTATCATCTGAAAGCGGATACAATTTCATACTATATATAGTTATTTAGCTATAATTTCAGCATCTAAAGCATTCTGGGTAATAGTTTCAAAAGCGTACACCAAAACATTGTGATTGGTTGAAAACGTACTAAACAACGGAAATTCAACCAATGATGTAATGTTATTTTCATTTTGGTGTACGAACATTAAAATTACCCATAGTCCTTTAGATTCTGAAAAGGTGAATAACACATCTACAAATTTAAGAAAAACACAGAGAAACAGATGGTGGTAGGTAAACATAAAAACTCCATTGAGTTGAACAAGAACAGATACCTAGAGACTTCCATCAAGTTTGGTGTAAAACCTGTAAAGAAGACTGAACTAACCTGATGTTAGAAAATCTGTATTATCATATAAATACTTATAGAGTATTTGATATTCCTATAAAAAGTTTCAAAATTGTATTTTGTCAGTGCTTAGACTGTATATTGTGTTCTTATTCATTCTGATTGTTAATATTGTGATCTTAATTGACACACAGAAAAGTATGTAATATCTCTGTATTATTTTTTTTCAATTTTTATATTCGCTGTATACATATATTATGTGAATTTATATCAAAGCAACAAGCATTCTGAGAGTATTGCATTGCAATACATAGTTCCCTACCGGTTAAACATTAATTGTACTAAAACAAAATGCTAACTTGATCTATAACTAGTCATGGTGTAAACTATATAACAAATATTAAGTCAATATCTTCAAGCATGACGAAAAAAAAGTGCGGAAAACTGATAATTTAAGTGAATTTTCTAAGTCCAAGGAACATAACTCTGCAAAAAATCATCAAACCGAAACAAAATTCAAACTTGGTCTGTAACTTGTCATGATAAAACTATATACCAATTATCAAATCATTATCTTCAAGCATGACAAAAAAAGTGCGGAAAACTGATTATTTGAGTGAATTTTCTAAGTCCAAGGACTATAACTCTGCACAAAATTATCAGACCGGAACAAAATTCGAACTTGATCTGTAACTTGTCATGATAAAATAATATACCAAATATCAAATCAATATCTTCAATCATGAAGAAAAAAAGTGTGGAAAACTGATTTGCCGGACTGACAGAAGGACAGACAGACGGACAGACAGACTGACAGACAGACAGACGGACAGAGTGCAAACCTAAAGTCCCCTTCGACTTTGTCGGTAGGGGACTAATAAAAATATATTTAAGTAGCAAGTTTAAACTGATCTGATTGAACTAAATACAGAACTCACTCCATTTTGTTTAATCAATAATTCCAACAGTTTCCAAAGAAGTTCTGCAGAATCTCGGTCCGTCATGTTAATATTCTCTGAACAAGCTTTAGCTTTCTGTTGACAAAATGATAAAACATCATTTTTATGGGTGTCACCTCTGTAAGAAAAAAGCAGAATAAACAGCATTATAAATCATGTAGATATATCTTTAACTTTAAAATAATCATTCTGAAAATAATAGCATAAAGGATAAATTCTATCAACATGCCATACGATGTGTGAAGAAAACAGCTATTCTGAAAATGCCTGATATCAGATGAAAACTCAAACTTAATTGCTTAACTCTGTAATTAAACTTAATAAATGTTTATATTTTAAAAAGGTGTAAACAGGAATTTGTATACATTTGTTTATTAACATGGTAGTCAATCTTATGCAGTGAGTAGCAATAGTTATTTGTCATCCTTCCACACCTTAACTCACAAACTTGATCTCACAAATAAACTGAGCACATCTGGAAAACCAGAGTAAGGTTCTAAAACACAAACCAATGTATTGATGTGTACAAGCAGGTGTGATTAAATAAAAACACCAAGAAGAATGTGTTACCAAAAACATTTAGAAGATTTATTTACAAATACAAACCTAACAAGAGGCCCAGGGAAACATTTGAGTTCTTCCACTTCCGGTCTATCTTCCAACATCATACTGATGTCATGTACTTCTACTGTAGCTGTCTGTCCTTCCTTTGGTCTGTTTGGCATCACTTTAATCAGGTGTCCACCTGGACCAAACCTGGCACACATGTGTGGGAGGGTGTACTTCTCTGGGGTCATCCTACCTGGGGGTTCAGCTGTAAAATTAAATATATGGTTAATGCATGTGTTGGGTTATCCAAAAATAAAAGGAAATCGCAAAGTTAAAATTCTGTAATCTACTACATTTAACTAGAGACAGTAACCTGAATTTTTGTATTAGAATCAGTTTACCTAATATAGAGTGTTTACAAAAGTTGTTCTTCTTCCGTACATTTCATATAGGGACTCAGACTTTGTGAGATTTAACGATGCTCTACATACCCCTATATCTAGTGAACCACATAAAATGTAACTATGTCCAATGTGAAAGGAGTATGTTCTGTAAGAGTCCACGGTTTCAAGATTTAAAGTGTTTGATGAATAGACATGTTAAGAAAGTGTTGACGCTTACACTACTAATAGGCCGAAAAGAGGGATTTTGGGGAAATTTGACATAATCATCAAACTTTCAATCATATCTAGGCCTAGGAAAAGTAGAGTGCATGGTTCAACAAACTAAATATTGAAGTCAGATCGCTAATTTATTATAACTAACTTACTGATGTAACTTTGATACCGTATGTAGTAAGTCAGGATACCACAAGTGAGAAAATTTGTCCTTCGAGTAGTAATCACTAAAGTAATGAATGTTACCATAGTAACAAGACAGACTTACGTTCAGCGTAACTGTTATTATAGTAATCTTGGTAACCATAGTAATATGGATCATATTGTCCTTTATGATAATCCTCGTAGCCTTGTCTACTCGATGATCTGGAAGCAGGATACCTTAAATATTAAAAAATCTCTTCTTTGAATTTATCTAAATTTTTCAGACATTTGTTTTTCTTACTACATAAATGTATACATGTTTTGTTCACAGTTATTTTGAACTTAATTAATAATTTTATAACTTCTTTTTCTACTGTGATTAATACCTTTTACTCAATCACTGCCTCATACAAAATACAACTTATTGCTATTTGTCCACCATTGCTGGACATCACAGAAGTTCCCATAAAATATTGATTTCACAAGAGAAAATGTCTGACACCACAAAGGAACAGTGATTGTCGTATGACATCAATAGTTCCAAGTGTCGCAAATTCTCAGGTCAAATATCGCAAATTCCCAAAAAGTGATAATGTCTATCAATCTAGACCTATCATCTTGATTTTAGACCAAATGCCATGTGACATTCAACTTTTAGTAAATAGAATACATTTTTGAAGCAAACATTTCTTTTAAATTCCTTTTGTATTTGACATATTTCGTTAGTCCATGTAAATGGCAAAATCAATCTATTCAAAGATTTTATGCATATTTTGCTGTTCAGCTTATGCAAACTAACAATACATGCCACTACAACATGGTGTTCATGCCTAAATCGACTCATCCTTCCAACACTACCAGAACCAGCAGAGTACACTACTTTCAATACTGTATGTAAAAGCATATGTTTCTACATTATAAGGACACTTTTAAACTATAAGGCTATTAGTTAGTATTTAGTAAAATAAATAATCTGGAGTATACAGTCCACTGTCTTTGTTTCTTATTATCATTAATCATTATACATCAACATATCATGTGACATATCATGTGACAATGCAAGCATATTAATCATATCTTGTACACTGAATAGATGCTAACATTAGACTTGGTTCAACATTTTCTGGTCATTGAATGTTTGTTTTTCACTGTGCTGAAATACAATAATGTTAGCAAGTATTCAGTCTATATAAGCTGGCGCTGACTTCAAAGCTAAATATTGCCTTTAATGATTGTATGTGCTGATGCTGCTAGCTTAAATGCCTATAATATTTTCCATTTAAATGGGCCTGCTGCTTGGTTATAAGAGATAATGATAAATGACTACTATATAACATATGTTGTGCAAGGCAAAACATTAATTTGTTTCAAATTCAGTTTTGCCATGTAAATTTATACACACACATGTACATTAATGTATACATCACCACTACCACATTCAATTATAGAAATATATAACTTCAAAAATCAATCATAACTGCATAAAATCCCCAATATACACCACAAACCAACACATGTATCTTAACATAACAGAATGTTTAAATTCTTTAAATTTGTTTCTTCTTTCAAATGGAAACAGAAGGGAGATAACTTTTTGTAACATCTGATTCTCTCCCCTACATGTTTATTTAACACTTACTGTTGATCGACTGAATCTGATAATGACCCAGGTGTATGAACACAACATTCTCTCCCCAACATATGTTTATCTAACACTTACTGCTGATCACCTGAATCTGACCCTGGTGTATGAACACGACATTCTCTCCCCTACATATGTTTATCTAACACTTACGGTTGATCCCCTGAATCTGATAATGACCCTGGTGTATAAACAAAACATTCTTTCCCCAACATATGTTTATCTAACACTTACGGTTGATCCCCTGAATCTGATAATGACCCTGGTGTATGAACACAACATTCTCTTCCCTACATATGTTTATCTAACACTTACAGTTGATCCCTTGAATCTAATAATGACCCTGGCATATGAAGACGAAACTTCCCTACATATGTTTATCTAACACTTACAGGTGATCACCTATATCTGTTCCTGGTGTATTAACACAACATTCTCTCCCCTACATATGTTTATCTAACACTTACAGTTGATCCCTTGAATCTGATAATGACCCTAGCGTATGAAGACGACATTCACTCCCCTACATATGTTTATCTAACACTTAAGGTTGATCCCCTGAATCTGATAATGACCCTGGTGTATAAACAAAACATTCTTTCCCCAACATATGTTTATCTAACACTTACGGTTGATCCCCTGAATCTGATAATGACCCTGGTGTATAAACAAAACATTCTTTCCCCAACATATGTTTATCTAACACTTACGGTTGATCCCCTGAATCTGATAATGACCCTGGTGTATGAACACAACATTCTCTTCCCTACATATGTTTATCTAACACTTACAGTTGATCCCTTGAATCTAATAATGACCCTGGCATATGAAGACGAAACTTCCCTACATATGTTTATCTAACACTTACAGGTGATCACCTATATCTGTTCCTGGTGTATTAACACAACATTCTCTCCCCTACATATGTTTATCTAACACTTACAGTTGATCCCTTGAATCTGATAATGACCCTAGCGTATGAAGACGACATTCACTCCCCTACATATGTTTATCTAACACTTACAGTTGATCGACTGAATCTGATAATGACCCTGGTGTATGAACACGACATTCTCTCCCCTACATATGTTTATTTAACACTTACGGTTGATCGACTGAATCTGATAATGACCCTGGTGTATGAAGACGACATTCTCTCCCCTACAAATGGCCTACATATGTTTATCTTACACTTACGGTTGAATGCTTGAATCTGATAATGACCCTGTCGAATGAACACGACATTCTCTCCCCTACATAAGTTCATCTAACACTAACGGTTGAACGCCTGAATCTGACCCTGGTGTACGAACACCACATTTTCTCCCCTACATATGTTTATCTAACACTTACAGTTGATCGCCTGAATCTGACACTGGCGTATGAACACGACTGCCACTTCTCTGACTGTAAGTATCATCATGTCGACCATATTGGTCATAATACCTGGAAAAACATGCACATTGCACACATGCATTTGTTAAACATTTACCATAATGCCATAATGAACGTCAGTGTGGAATTAAATGTATGATACTGATATGATTAAAAACCAAAAAAATGATGGTACAATTCTCAGTAGCAGGTATCGATATAAAACATGCAATAAAATGATATTCATTAGTGATAAAAATCAACCTGCTATAAATAACCAATATTATTGACTTTCGATCAGTACATTGTACTGCCTATGTCATTGTATGTTGCATACATATAAAAATAAGAAGATATGGTATGATTGCCAATGAGACAACTCACCACTGTTCATTATTTCACTAAAAATTTAAATCACATATATGTCAGATGAATTAATTCTAAATAAAAGAAGAATGTGTCAATGGGAAACAGATGTCCCTGCTTGTAAATATACAAAAGTCAATGTACTAATTCAAACCTATTGACATTTAATTCAGTAATTATTCCTTTTATAAAAGGGGACATAATTTGAGAACATTAAAAGTAATTATAATGTATAAGTTTCATAACATTTAGCTGAGATAAACTAAAGTTAGAGAACAGAAACCAATTTGGGACGGGGCATTAAAAAAAGTTAAGATACACAAAGTATAAACATGCAAACCCCCCCACCAGAGTTCAAGGTTTGGTATGAGCTCTTATTAGGTCTCTGAAACAACAAAACACCCCCTGCAATCATTTCAAAAGCATGATAGAAATGATAAATAAACTGTTATCACAGAGATATGTCTCGCCTTTTTGTAATTTTGATAATGCAAATGTTGAAATTAAAATAGCAATACTTTAACATGTAAGCTATGCAAATATTCAAAGTCGATGAACCATGACTGAAGGTACATGGCTAAACAATCTCCATGGAATGAGATGTGCCAATGCTAATACAACTGCATACCAAATACCATTGACTTATCATAAGCCGTTCCCTTTAAACAAACCTAAACACAAACATTAACTTGTAAACTATGTAAAAGTTTCAAAGTCAATGAACCATGATCAGGGGTGGGGCTATATAATCTCCATGGAAACGATACTTGCAAATGCCAATAAATTTGCATACCAAATCTCATTGACTTAACATTAGCAGTTCATCTTAAACTGATCTAATCACAAACTAATACATGTAAACTAAGCAAAACTTTCAAAGTTAATAGACCATGACTGAGGGGGCAGGGCCAAATATTCTCCATGGAAATGAGATGTGCTAATGCTTATACAACTGAACACCAATTAACATTGGCCTACCACTAATGGTTCCCCTTGAACTGACCTAATCACAAACTAATACATGTTAACTTAGTAAAATTTTCAAACTCTATAGACCATGACTAAGGGGGCGGAGCCAAATAATCTCCATGGAAATGAGATATGCTAATACTTATACAACTGCATACCAAATATCATTGACCTACCACTAGTGGTTCACCATTAACTAGACCTAATCACCAACTAATACATTGTTGACGCTGACCAATTTAGTGCAGAAGTGTCAAGATATCACAGACATCTGATTTTTAAAAGATAAACTGGCTATTATATACATTTTTTGAGAAGCAGGGGTTTTGGGAAACAAAACAATATTATTAACTGAAATCTGATCACTTTCAATCAGAAAAGACAATATGATGAATGTATTTTAACAAAATATAAAAACGTGGTATGATTGCCAATGAGACAACTATCCACCAAAGTTAAAATGAAGTGGATGTAAACAACTAGAGGCAACCATACAGCCTTGATGAATGATAAAAACCCATACCGTATAATTGGCTATAAAAGGCTCTGACATGAAAAATGTGAAACAATTAAGAAGAGAAAACTAAAGGCCTAATTTAATTTATAACAAAACAATTTATGAAAAGAAAACTAATACACATGTATTACAAACATGAACCAATGACAACCACTGAACTACAGGCTCCTGACTTAAGACAGGCACATAAAGAATGTGGTCGGGTGTAACATGTTTGCAGTTGCCAAACCCAAGCCCCTTGGCCCCAAGTACAACATAAGAACAAACAAACAAAATCTGTCGAAATTGGCTTTTTTTCCTATGACACATATTTAGACCAAGATTATATAGCAGAATGAATCTGTATATATATAAATACAAAACAGGAAAGGGATTTAAATATATCCATGCTCAAAAGAAAGAAATTTCTGATCTTTAAAATATTACAGACAAACAGAAGTGTTTTCTCAACTTTCAAATGTTAGTTGCACTAAAAAGGTTTACCACAAGTATCCTTTCATACTAAATATAAAGAACTGAATCTTATTTTCGAAAATAATCATGAAAACATGCAAAAAGGAAAATGAAAACTAAAAGCAATGATATTAAAAAGCAAATGCAAGTGTAAAATCTACAATATTGAGGTAAAATAAGTGAACTGCAACAATGTCAAAAACATTAAAACAAAGGAGAAGCTAAAAGACACTTTGTTCTTACCCAGCTTGTTGCCATGTGTAATCATAATGTGACATTCTGTCATAACTGAAAGTAGGTCATTTAACATAAACTTGTGAAACTTTGTTGGGGGCCTGTAAGTAAAACTATAGGACTAAGTCAGTCCTTGAATTCCAAGAATCCTTCAGTATTACAGTATACTTATACAGAATTTTTTACACATTTATACACAGAGAATATACAAAATTTAGAAATAGAAAAAAGAAATAAAAAAGATGACATAAAGGTATCTAAAAATCTGGCACAAAAAGGCTTTTGGTATGTTCTAAATGGTGTATACAATCTGTAGTAACAGTACCACAAGATGTTGTTTGTTCTTTTTGTACACACAAAACAAATCTAAAAATATAACTTTCAATACATATAGTACACAGTGGAATGAAAAATAATATTTATATAACAGTGTATGTGTCCAGATTTACAGTAGTTAGTGTATAAAAACATCATATATTTGATTGCACTAGTTTATATTTTCTGTATGAGTATACTGTACATATGTGTTTATTGTATGTGTAAAACGTACACATGTATTCTTATTAATCAACTGTTAATTTATTGTAAGTGTGTTAGTTTAAATGTTTTAAAAATTGATAAAATATAGATTTTACCCTTTTTTCCAAAACTGACTGTCATGTACTGAAACTCTCCCAGAAATTTAATATAATTTGTGAAATCCCATTTAAAAACAAGTCACATCCAACAATCTGATCATTAAACTTAACTATGATGTCTCCTTATTGGCAAACAGTTATTTCAAGTTAAATGAAACCATCAGTTTTGGAAAATGCCTCGTTACATTAATATGAAAATCTTCATATTGTTGCACTTAATTGATATTATAAATGAAAGTTTTAAGAAAAATAACTAATGCTATTGTGGATGCATTTATTTTTGTGGGTACCAATTTTCGTGAAGAGAGAAAAAATTATATTTTCGTGGATATTTGATGTCTTGTAATTGCCAATGTCTGCATAAAAACCTATGGAAAATTCTAAATTTAATCACATTTAAATTTTCTTTTGATCAAACCCACCAAATAAAAAAAAACCCTGTACCCTACCAATAATAATGAATCCACAGTATTCTTAATAGGACAGTACTTCATGGCCTCTTTTGCCATGTCTTTCAGAAATCATTTCCAAACTGTATGACATTTATATCCCTGAATAACATGACAAATAAGAATATCATTTCTAAGTATAAATCGCTGCGATATAGCCTTTTTGCACTGATGCGGTGTTAAGCAAACATCAACCAACTAAGAATAAACTGTTTGGGACTTACTTGTCAGGATACTGTCCATTATAATACTCATCATAGTAACCTTTGCTATAGCGAGCGTCGCCATAGTAATCTGTATATCTTTGATCATAGTAACCATACTGTCTGTTGTTACCATAGTAATCATAGTAACCTAAAAATAGTAGAAATTATATTTACTTTTTTTAACTTTAGGAAATTATATGTGTGTAAAACATATGATCATAACTCATGGAGTAAGCAACACAAAAGGTGCTACATGTGAGCATGATCTGCTTACTCTAGTTGTATTTCATTTTTAAGCCGTGGCATTATCAGTTCTTTTAGACTTATCAGTTAGATTATACCTTTGCCTTTGGTATCTTTCACCTCTCTTTTGAAATGTACTTATAAACTCTTACTAGTAAATTATTACCTCGACCATATCTGTAGTAAGCCTCTCTATCCTGTGGTCTGTCATCAACTGAAATAAACAAATGTATATATAAACTGTAACTGAATATGGTGAACCAACACCTGAAGTTGTGATTTGGCGGTAGGGTAATAAATGAGTGGATACCTAAAGGTATTCACAGTTGTATATATTGTAATAATACATGTATTTTGTGTAATGTTATGCCAAAACACATATTTAACACTAAACAGTACCTGGTGATGTCCTTCACGACTTTCTTCAGAGGTAGAATGATAGATTAATATATTGTTTGATGCTTTAATACTAATGTCACGACTTTCTTCAGAGGCAGAATGATAGATTAATACATGTATATTGTTTGATGCTTTAATACTAATGTAAAAGCTTGTTTGCCTCATGTTGATATTTTTTCTGAATAAAACAGCAATTCATTTGTAACATATTGTCTCAATAATATATATATATCAAAATCAGTAAGCGAGTTTTTAAAAGATAGTGGTAAATGTTTATTTTTATTCATTTGTTTGTAATAAGCCCTGTGATGAGGTTAATAAATAACTAGATTCTAAAAATCTCATATTTTCCCGCTAAAACTAAATCACCTGTCAATAAAGTAAATTCATATTGGAACATTTGTCATTACTGGGATAATGGCTGTGTTTCTAGATTACTTCTTTTGTTAATTGAACATGGTAATATATGTTCAATTCAAAGGTACAGTCAAGCATTTATATTTATGAAATAGATTGCAATTACATAAAATGTGGATTCAAACTCTGAAAAACTAGACCATGATTGACCTTGATTCTGAGTATGTAGTCGGGTGGAACAATCACCTGTTAAGTGTTGATTAGGATGACAGGTGATCAATTAACCACAAAACAATGACTTCCTGTCTTGATTACATGTAGGAATTAGAGAATTTCATAGCTATTTTAACAACTAATAACAGGCATTGGACTTCCCAATCTATTGGAGGTAAACAGAGAGACATAGTCAAAATCACAAGGTGACATTGGCTTACTTTACCCAAAATCTAGGGCGACATAAAACGTCTGGTGGGCCTTGTCTACAATGTTCATCTCCATTTTTAAACAATATTTTCAGTAAATTTTGGAACTTAGTTTCTAATTAACAAATCAATGTAATGAAAACAAGTTATGTGCCCACAGTACACAGTTCCCCCTCACACTATCACATTTCAATAGGTCAAAACCGTAATTTGGCATACATATTTTATAACTTCACACCATAATCATGATAATCAATAAACATATTTCAAGTTCATGTGACCACAACTTCATGGTAAACTTATAGATGCTTATAGCCAAAACTATAACCTCATACAAGACAAACAGAAGGATGCACAGAAGGGAAAACATAATGCTCATCTGCTATCATAGAGGGTGGCATACTAAAATATAATATTAACATAGAATACTTACTTGTTGACTGCCTTGATCTTGACCTCTCATATCTATCATCGCTGTAATAAGGATCCTTTGCCTTGTTATTCCGTTGATAATGAGCTTCAATTTGTTTGTCTCGTTCATACTCTCTTTCCCTGTCTCTGTCCCGATAATCACGGTAACGTTCATCCTTGTATCTGTCATCTTGACCTGGGCCTCGGTAATTTTTATCATCTTTATAAGATCTTTCTCGACTGTTTTCAAGTACCCTTTCTCTATCTTCCATTCTTTTTGTCATTTCAATTTCTCTGTCAATAGAGGAATTCCTTTCATGTCTGTCCCTCTGTGTATTCTCTCGCCTGTCCCTTTCATTTGTTTTCAATTTACTTGTGTCTTTTTCAGGTGAGTTCTCTCTAGACAGGTGATCACTCATACTTGTGATAAGATTTTGAACAGGAGACAAGACCTCTCTAGTTTCACCACTACCTTTTGAAGCCACAATACCAAAAACTGGAGTAGCACTTGTAACCTGCATTGGAGCAGCAGGAGCAAGTAATATGTTGCTTTTAGGAACAATATCATTGTTCGCCCACAGTGAGGTTGCAGGCGAGACATTTTCCTTCTTTCGACGCTCCATAGCTCTTTGGTATGCTGCATGTTCCATTCGTCGACTTGGTGTATTACGACCAGGTGTGGTTCTACCATTTGTTGATTTTGTGGGTGTTGTTCGTCCTGTTGGTGGTTTGGTAGGAGTTAATCTACCACTTAAACTTCTACTTGAACTTGAACTCAATGGTGAACGAGGTCTTTTTTCATCTTTCCCACGGCTTGAAAATTTACTATAGTCAATAGAAGAATCATGTTGTCTACCTGCTGATTGAGGAGGTAAAATAGATCCTAAAGTTCTATCTGCTTTCATTGGTCCAGTTTTTCTATCCCCTGATTTTCTATCCATGCTACTCTGATATTGATCTGATATACTGCCACTTACATGTCGAGGATCAGATATATTCTCGTCGTCAAATGAATTACTTGACTGTGACAGATTTCTACGTCTAGGTGGTTGAAATGGGCTTTCCTTCCTTGGCATGATAGGACTTTGAGTAGGAGGATCCTGAGAATGGATATCCTCTGTGACAGCTTGTATAGGACTAGGAAATCCTGAATCTGCAGCTTTTATATCTAACTTTAGTCCTTCATTTTGTGAATTAGTCACATTTTGACTTACATGTTCAGTATTTTTCAATACATTAGGACTATGGCTAGTCCTGTTATCAGAACCCTTTCCTTTTCTAAAAGGGTTCCCTCCAGATGCCCCTAGTCCTGTTGGAGCTGGCTGGTTTATTGAGACTGGTGGGAGACCAGTACTTTCAGGAATATTATTTCTTGGAGGCATGGGAGATGAGGAATGTTTTGGTATTAGATTATGTGGAGGGGAACCCTCTGCTGGTTTGTTCTCAGTATGACCAGTTTCTGCAGTATCTGGTGTCTCAGATGGTGATATATTAGTGGAGCCAATAAAAAATTGCACATTTGCACTACTATCAGTTGAACCTTGGCGGCTGTGATTACTGGGTGCTAGTAAATTGTGAGCAGAAGGCACCATTTCCCAATCATCAGAAGTCTGTGAATTTACAGGAGAATCTTTTGACTCATTTGACACTTTAGGATTGCCATCAACAGAAGAGCCTTGACCCTCTATTGCTGAATGATTTATATCCTCAACTTTTCTATCATCCTCATTTGATTTTTCCTGAACATACATATTTCCCATTTGATTTTCAAATGATTGAACATTTTCTTCAACAAGTTGTGTGCTAGAACTATTCAAAGTTACTAAACTTTCACTACTTATATCAGACTGAGGTACATGTAAATTTGGGTCCAATTCTTTTGACAATCTAGCATCACTACTAGCTAAATGTTGGTTATCTCCCCCTGATGGACTGAGTTCATTATTTACTTTTTCTGCATTTAATGCATTTGTGTTGTACACACTCTCTGTTGAGTCAGTATTTATATAATTTTCATTGTTAGTATTTTGAGACTGACTATCACTTTGAACATTTGAGTCAGAATTTTGACCTGATTCTACAATGTCTGTCCCAGCTGGCTGCTGGGCTTCAGTATTATTCCAGTTTTGTTGATATCCATAATTATACTGATTCCATTCATAATTCTGGTTATTAAACTGACCCTGTCCATCATAATTTTGATATGCCTGAGATCCATATGGTTGAAATGCCTGAGCTTCAGCATTCAACTGCTGAACTGTTTCTCCTTGTTGGTCAAATTGTTGAACAGTCTGTACTTGATTTGGGTCATACTGTTGAAGATGTTGTGCTTGATTTGGGTCATATTGTTGGACAGGCTGTGCTTGATTTGGGTCATATTGTTGGACAGGCTGTGCTTGATTTGGGTTATATGGCTGAAAAGGTTGTCCTTGGGGGTCATATGACAAACCTTGATTATAAGACTGTTGCTGTGGTATACTTGGATTTAAATGATAAAATTGTTGAGGATTATGCTCTGGAACTTGATAGCCTACTTGACCTTGCTGACCTTGGTCTTGATCTGACTGCTGCATTCCATTATATTGTCCATATTGATTGTCATTTCCCCATCCATGGCCCCAACTGGATGGGTTATTATGGTCTATTATATTTCCATCAGTCTGTGGCAATGGTCCATTTTGCTGAAATTCTCCTGGGTTAAAAAGTTTAACATTTCCTTTCACCCCTTCTGCAGAACTGTTCCATGGGGTAGTTGTGCTCATACTGAAAATAAAACACTGATAAATATACCTGATCATTGCTTAAAAACAAAGCTTAACTAAAGTGAACTTATGAATAAATGAACAGAGACAGAATATGTTTTCTGTGTTTTGTGCCATATCATGTTTCTTAAAAAAAATACTTGAGAAACATTCAATAAGTTATGCAGTTTATTCATTTATTTATTGTGACATAATTCCAGGGTTCTCACTACGGATTTTTGAAGGTGAGTCCAGGGACTCATCATTTTTGGCCATGGTGAGTCCAAAAGTCAGAAGATATTTTATTGAAATATGATTTATCATTTAAGTCTCCATGACCTAATAGAGCAATGAAATGATATTAAATTCAGATTATCTTAAACTTTTGCTATAAAATGATGCTATATGTGTTAAGTTTATACAACATTTTACAATCTTGATGCATCTTTGGACTCACCAGTTTTGAAAATGGTGAGTCCACACAGATTTTCATGAGGACTCATGGACTCGTCTTAGTGAGAACCCTGAATTCTGTATGCATATTTATGTTTCACATCTGGGTGTGGGGTATACTTCAATGAAAATTATGATGAATCAATGAGCAACCCAGTGAAACAAATGACTACATGTAAAAGACATTTGTTTTAGTGACCTTAAACTAGAGGCTCTAAAGAGCCTGTGTCGCTCACCTTGGTCTATGTGCATATTAAACAAAGGACACAGATGGATTCATGACAAAATTTTGTTTTGGTGATGGTGATGTGTTTGTAGATCTTACTTTACTGAACATTCTTGCTGCTTAAAATTATCTCTATCTATAATGAACTTGGCCCAGTAGTTACAGTGGAAAATATTTTGTAAAAATTTACAAAAATTTACAAAATTTATGAAAATTGTAAAAAATTGACTATAAACTCCTTAAGGGGTCAATTGACAATTTTGTAGATCTTACTTTGCTGAACATTATTGCTGTTTACAGTTTATCTCTATCTATAATCATATTCAAGATAATAACCAAAAGCTGCAAAATTTCCTTAAAATTACCAATTCAGGGGCAGCAACCCAACAACGTGTTACCTGATTGGTCTGAAAATTTCAGGGCAAATAGATCTTGACCTAATGAACAATTTTATCCTGTCAGATTTGCTCTAAATGCTTTGGTTTCAGAGATATGAGCCAAAAACTGCATTTTACCCTATGTACTATATTTGGCCATGGCGGCCATCTTGAATGGTTGGCCGGGTCACCGGACACATTTTTTAAACTAGATACCCTAATGATGATTGTGGCCAAGTTTGGTCAAATTTGGCCTAGTAGTTTCAGAGGTGAAGATTTTTGTAAAAGTTAACGACGACGGACGACAAGTGATGAGAAAAGCTCACTTGGCCCTTTGGGCCAGGTGAGCTAATAATATTTCTCCCCTTCTTAAATTTCAACACTACAATACTTCAGGAAAGATCCCATGCAAACTGTGGTATGTATTTTTTGTCATTTCATATTTATCACAATTTGTGTAAGGGGCCCCTATTCTTTCAAAATGAGACAACAACAAAATAAAAAATAAAGTGAACCTTATATTATTTTCTTTTGAAATAACTTTAAGCTTTTTTTTAAAAAAAATATAGAAAAAATAAATTGAAATGATATCTTCAGCATGTTTAGATTTCAAAACATATAATTCTCACCATACATCGTAAATCATTTAAATAGCTCTCTACCAATAATACTCTGCACAAATTATCTTATCATAATATGAGTACTTAGTCAACATGGTCAAATAATGGTTTCAGTAAAAGCAAACATTATTTTAACTTCATGTGATAAAAATTACTTTTTTTAATAAGTATACATTGTAATACACATATTTGTTTTGAATAGGGTAATCTTGGTAATCATGATAATTGAGATTGCTGCAAACAGAGAATATCGACAGGCAATAAAATCGTATGTTAATCTAGACTTTCCCTACCTGACTGTCGGCAAATATGAAATATGGACAATGTTAAAATAAACCAAAATCACCAAAAAATTGTATAAATTTGGGTTGTTCATTTAAAGGAAATAGGAAAAGAATTTAAATCACATACAAATACAGGGAGAAGGTGCGGAATGTCAGTACTATATAGATATTACAAAAGAATAGTTTATTCATCATAATGCATCAGCTGTTTCCTTTGATCATGCATTGTAAGATAATTATGTACAAGTGGATTCCAGTTTATGTTTTGCAATGCCATGAAAAAAAATTAGAAAAATTTAATGAAGCATTTAATTTTGATATTTATCAATTAATATTGATTTTGTAATTTAAAATTGCATCATGATTAACCCTTACCATGCATGGACCGTAATGTTACAGTCTTACCCAAAATACCGTTATTTGGCTCCAATGGCTCTCCATACTTTTAGAGGTCAACTTTATGACATTAATTTCGAAGTGGATGCATGTTCCCTAAACCTAAGGCTATTTATTGTCATGTTTCTCAGGTTTAAGGTGCATTTTGAGCTCAAATACGAACTTGGAAGATTGAAATAGGATAAAACTGGCAGTTCAGAGGCCTAAAACTTCCAAAAAATAGTGTAAACCAGTGGGTATATAACTACTAATCGGGCTTAGTATTGAAATAGACTTAGAGAATGACTACTTCCGGTTGCAAGTCCAGTTGAAGCCAAAAATCGAGAAATTCTGGATTTTTTGTGCAAATTACCTTCTTTAGACTGTTGTACCCAGATCAGTTTCACTCTGACCTAAGCTTTGTCATGTTTGTTGTGGTTAATGAGTTTACAGGGATCCACTCTACATGCAGACTACAGTGGGACACATCTATCAGCATCCCTCAGTCTTCCTGGTCAAGAAAAAAATTGATGCTTTTTGCACCTGATGACCAACTTTGGGGTAAACATTGCAAAATTAAGTTTTTCTCTTATTTCTTGAATATACATGACAGTGTTCCAGCTAGCATGATATGGAGGAGCGCCGCGCCCCGCCCCCGAAATTTTGCGCCCCTCTGCCTTTTTTAAGCGCCCCTCTGTCCTTCTGCCCTTCTGATGCGCCCCTCTGTGCCCTTTTAAAAAAAGTTTAAAAAACGATCTTTTTTCCTCATATCGTCGCCATTTTGTTGAGTTCTTTATACACACACTTCATTAAGACAACAGATTAACATTATTGACACTTGTTACCTGTATATAATCACCTATTTTATTAGAGTCAATTACTTAATCAGGTGAAATTTATGACCCTGTCTAATCCCTTTGCCCTGAAGCACCAAAACATCCAAGTTAAATGAATTGATTTTTTAACACCTGACGATGCAAAATAGAATTAATAAAATAAATGTGAACGATGTTCATTTCTATTGTATTTGTTATTTATAAAATAAGGTTCATTAAAAAAGAATCATTCCAATAGTATATTGTAAATCGTCAACACGCAAAATGCCGACGAAAAAAAGAAAAATTGACCAAATCTAAAATGACAAGAAGAAAATATCAAAGACTTGCCAGTCTATTACATCTTTTTTTCAAGAATAATGACCATCAAAGGTAAAAAATAATTTAATTCTTTACTTTTATGAAAAATCGAGAAGAAGAAATTAAGGTTTCTATCAGATATCGCAATTGTTCTTCTATTGTAAATTCCGCCGATTACGGAGCACTCGAAAGTCCGATTTTTATATCATTTTTCTTGAATTGAAATCCGTTTTGACTAACTTTAATATTGATATTATTAGATACCCTCAACATGAAATATATGGAGATGCTTGTTGAATTGATAATAAACTTTCAAAGTTGAATTAATTTATTATTGTGCCGATTAAGGAGCTCTCGAAAGTCCGATTTTTGTATCAATTTTCTTATTGAAATCCTTTTCGACAAACTTATTGATATTATTAGATACGCTCAACATGAAATAACAGTAGATTTTGACACTCAAATCAGAGAGTGCTTTCTCAATGGATTAATTGAAAATATAACAGTTAGATTTAAGGATGCTGACACAATCGATCAGTTGGCCATTTCAGACCTTACAGAAACAGACAACATTGAAACAATGTATGGTTATACAGAGATAGAGGCTCTGGCAAATACATTTGACATGGACCCTGAAACTCTCCTTATTCAATGGCAGGACTTTATAGCTCTTGTGTCATCAGCAGAACTTACAGATCGTTCCTTACCTAGTCTGCTAGAGCTATTTCATTCACCTTGTCATAAGGATAAAAACCTATTATCTATGTACCCTCTTGTTGCAAAACTATTCAGTGTTGCAATAATACAACCAATCAGTACAGCAGAGGTGGAGAGAATATTCTCTCAGGTCAAATTGATAAAGACAAGTCACTGGGCAAACTTGAAAACACAGACATTAACAAAAATATTAACTGTAAAATTAAACTGTGATGAAACTAAATTTGAAAAAATTCTTGATCAATGTGTGACAACCTTCTTCAAAGAGAAAAACAGAAGACTTGTCAATGTTGTTTAATATTTATTTGCATTTGAACTCTTCTTTGAAAAAATCTGTAATTCTGAAAGAGAAATGAATATAGTAATGACTATTATTTTTATGTCATTATGTGGTAATATTAAGTATTTGATTTTTTTCAGACAGTGAGAACGCGCTAAAGTGCCCTTTTTTAAAAACGCGCCCCTCTATTTTCAAATCCTAGCTGGAACACTGCATGAAGAACTCTATAATTCACATCACTGTCTGGCAATTTAAAATAAATTTTGGAGTAACAGACCACAGATAATACACAACAGAATTTGGTAGATCTAAATATAAATGGGAAGATCTAATCCTGAAACAAAAGAAAAAGTATTCCAAGAAAAATATCGACCTATTTCATGTATTTGATGATAATCTACACAACTATATGTTCTAATGACATAAGGCAATATAGGATAGACTAGAGTGGCAATATTTAACTTGACAAAAGTTATCAACATTACATACATGTAACTAAATAAGGAATTAAAAATAAACACACTACAGGATAAACTTTCAAAACGCAGGAGGTCAATGTAAGTGCTGCAGTCATAAAAATATTCTGACATATCCACCTGGGGAGAACACAGTGTATCCATTATTTTGTTCAACTATTCACAATTATAGATGAACACCGCTGTAACATATGCTTTGTCGGTTTATCAAGCTAATGTTTACAAATTTCATGTGTAAGATTGAACACAAGTAATTGAAAGCAACTTGAAATAGGGTATATTCAATTTTGTTTATGTTTTACTTGGTTAGGTAAAACATAAACAGAAAGAAAGGGAAACAGCTGATGATATTAATTTTTCATAATCGCTTATTTCATTATTTCCTGGCATTCAGTTTAGATTCAATGCATTCCCAAATTATTATTCTTAAAAAGCTACCTTTTGTCTTGTACAAATTAGCTTGTGCTGGAAGAATACACCATGAAAGCTGTCAAACTATTAAAGGCCACAATGCTGCCATATTGCTTTCAGTGGTTACGTGTGACGTTCATGCGCACTTTCGTTATGTTCTTTTAACTGTTTTTTGGTTTTCAAATTTTAACAGTTATCGAGGGATTATATTAGATCATGTTGACGTGTACTCAAATCTGTGGTTGTCTTACCTAAGAAACGAACAATGACTTGCAATTTAAAAGGTTTTCAGTGAAAACTTGCTGGGTGTCTGAACCGGAAGTACATTTTTTGTTTACCGGAAGTTCCTAAATATTATTCTTCCGTCAAGCGCACCACGTCAGCTAGACCATCATAACAAACTTCACATGCAGTCATAGTGTCATACATACATGTACATAAAACGTGTTCTTTGATATCATCGTCGCCAGAATGGTTTTAATGACCATGATCGCACGAGTTGCAGATGCACTGCCCTTAGCAGCATCAATGCAAGAGGATGAACAGGTTTATTATATTTTTAATAATGTTTAAGACAGCTGTGCCTGTGGTGTTGTCTGTCAAATGTCACATATAGCATAGTTTTCTCTTTGAAATTACATACTGTCCAACCACGTTAAGTAAGCAATCACTCTGTAAGGGAGAAAATCTATGTGGGGTCACCCAACGCAACAGTCTAGATCTAGTCCAAAAAATGATTATGACGTCTCATGCGTCTCGAAAGGCTACTTTAATTTTTTGCTGTAACACCTTCGTACGACTTTAATTTTTTGCTGGTACACCTTCCTACAAAGCAGTTCATGAAAAAATTAAAATAGCCTTTGAAGACATCTTAATTATTTGGACTACCAACATGGCCAGGTCAATGAAAACACCTTATCGCTATTTATCCGCCATTACTGGACATCACAGAAGTTCTCAAAGGAAAATGTCTGACAAAGTGATTGTTGTATGATGTCTAAAGTTCAAGTGTCGCAAATTCTCTGGTCAAGTGTCGCATATTCACAAATAGCGATAAGGTCTATCTCTGTTGTTTAGCCCATCCATTTTTGGAAGAGAGTACTTTCTGTCAGCCCTGTATAATTTATTTAATTTTAGTTGCTGAAGTTTGGTGATTATATAATCCTGATTGATTTTTGGTTACTTAATGTCCAGTGGCAAATATTTCATGCATGTTAAGGACAATTTTGGTTTCCTTACTCCTGAGCCATTTTCTCATTTGGCTACCAATAGAATCCTTTATCAAAACCTATTAACTCTAATCAGGAAAATGTTAACTGAAGTTCATTTAAAAAAAAAGGTAAGAATTGAAAAGAAGGCATGTTTGCCTCCAACAGTGTGTTAAACATGTTAAAATTTTGAAAATACACTTACCTTACCTTAAACAGTAGTCATACATTTGTAGTTCCATTTCATAAAGTGCACATATACATTGTACAGGGTGTTCCAATTAAAAGTGAGGACGTTGTGCCTTATGAAAATGGTCTAGCTGGGTTGCTTCAAGTCAATGACATTTGTTATGCAGTTGTATAAGTATTGACATACAAAATGTAACTCATTTCTATGGAGATTATTTAAGCCTTCAACCTCAGTCATAGTTTATTGACTTTGTACATTTTGCATAGTTTACATGAATCAAGCTTTAATTTGTCATTCAAATTGCATTTGCATTATACTTCAATGTATCAAAATTTCAATCAGACAAGATATCTGTGTCAAATTTGTAAATGTCACAAGCTGCCATAGTTAAAATGGTTACTCATTTTTGATCTTCATAAAACAAAAAACTAATCCAGCAAACAACTGTAACGTGCATAATTTTGTTATTAGTAATATATTTGAGCTTTAATGACACTGATGTTCCTTTTAAGTGCTTTTGCACACTTCTTGGCCCTTCTTGTCACTAATCAGTGAGACAATATTTTTACTGTTTTTTTTAATAAAAAATATTAGAATTTGGAGACTGATGTATGCTTGTGTCTGCAACATATGTAATAGTGACGGTAACAAAACAGCATCAAAGTTTTGCCCAAAATGATGATCCTTTGGCAAAAGTTGCCTAATATACATTTTCTGCTCTGCTGTTTGGATTGTGACTCCTCCCCATGAATTCTTGTAATTGAGCAAATCTTAATGCAGAGTAAATGATACAATGAAACTTCAAGTGACAACCAAATGACAAATTTTTTACCTGTTTAAACAAGTCATTCATGCATACAGAAATTGATTTTTATGCAGGACCTTATAATTATCTTTTTATGTTTTAATCCTGAATGAATAATTGATTTAAAGTAATTACAGTCAAGTTCTTGATATGGTTCATCTACTTTAATGCAAATGTCAACATGCACCTAAATAGATTAAAGTACTCAAATCTATTTCTATAGACTTAAAAATATTCTATTGCTGAGAGTAACAGACACTTATTTTATCATTACTTGGTGCACCTATATATGTCCTGAACTATCCATTGTTTTTAACACAGGCAGGAAGAAGTTTAATGGATTACCAGGCACAAGCAAAACAACTTTTCCGTAAGATATCAACAGATCCACAGCCTCCAGGAAGATGTAGTTTAGAATCGGGACCATATATTTTTCAGTGAGTAAAACATGGGATAAACATATAAATGTATTGTAATATTTATAAATAAAAGGAGATGTTGGATAATTGCTCATGTTAATTAGACAGCAGCCCAACAAAAAACAACTAGAGGTCAACATTCATAGAGTTACATGTACCGTCTTCCTAGTTATATTTAGACAGGTGTCCACACCATTTTGTTTACTGATTCTATCAAGGTACTTAGATGAAATGTTATATACATTTTTATGAGATTTCCTGTGTAAAAGTTATATATAACTTACATTGTAAACAAAGAGAGAAGATATCAGGAGGGCATTCAAAAATCAAAAGTCCAATAAACAAACATTAACATTGCCAGAACTAATAAAGAGCTGCGCCATGAGCGCATGATACGAATGATAAGAATGAAGTTCCATAACTCCTCAATATCATATCAGAAATTTATAAAAAAACTAAAAGGAGGTTATTTTAATAGATGTAAACCAGTCACCAATGTTTCATGATAACTGCTCAAAGCACTTTAGAGTTATTGTCAGAAAACTGGAAAATCCCCCCTTTTTTATTAATAAATTCCATAACTCGGAAACGTAAAATCTAAATTTTATAAATATCAAAAGGGAGCTTATGTCAATAGATATAAACAATTCACCAAAGTTTCATGAAAACTGCTTTAAGCATTTTTTGAGTTATTGTCCGAAAACTGGAAAATGTCCCTTTTTTAATGAATAAAACCCCATAACTCGGAAACATTAAATCAAAAATTTATGAAAATTGAGAGGGAGTTCACGTCAATAGATATAAACCAAAGTTTCATGCTATTTGGTTAAAGTGATTTTGAGTTATTGTCTGACATGTTGACGAAGGACGGATGATATACCATAATTCATCCCGTAAACGGGCGTATAAAAATGACGAAAGACAAACAACAATAACAAAACATCGCATAGGAAACTGAACAACACAAACCCCACCATAAACTAGGGTAAATATTTCCTGAAAACCGGGGTTGAACTCATGTTCTCTTGAAGGGTAAGCCATTCCTGCTCAACATGTACCCATCTTGTTCATCAAGCAAGCTAATATCCAGTAATAAATTGCTTTTGTAAAATATGAAAATTAATTAACTTCATAGTTACCCATTGTATTTAAATTTAGTTCCATTATTCAGCTCAGCTTTGGGTGTTATGATTAGCAATCAACATTATTCCTAGTTTTATTATAATTTTCTAATGTATCCCATGAGATACAAGGTTGATTCTGTTTCTCTAATGATTGATGATGAATCATATGGTTGGCAAATTTTTAACAGTGTTTTTAAAGATCTTAAAACATTTGTTCTTTCTGCCTTTTTTTTTATTGAAGTAACAAAGAACAAAATCAGAGGACAGAACAAAAATTAAAATGAGAACATTTAGCTATGTGACAATCATATACATGTAATTTATAATACGACACATTCTGATTTAAATACTGGTCCTGTGTCCAAGCTTTGCTTACAAGAATCTGAAAACACTCCACTCTACATTCTGTCTTAAAGACCTTTCAGGATCCTGTGGTTATGTTGATTTATACACACCTTAAAAAATTTGAAGGCTAATATTTCATTGGCTGATGTAACAATTACTAAAACAGAAAATACGGAATGTTGTCTGATCCTTGTAAGTAAAGCTTAAACACAGATCTGTATTTTGATCAGAATACAGATTGAATACAACATTGAATACAACATTGAATAAAAAGAAAATTATGTCAAATATATGAATTTGTAATTTTTCTTTTTAGTTATATAATAGAACGAGGTGTATGTTATCTTATACTTTGTGATAAATCATTCTCAAAGAGACTTGCATTCCAATATTTGGATGATTTACAAACAGAATTTTCATTGCAATATAGTGGTAGAGTAGAAACAGTATCTAGACCTTACAGTTTTATAGAATTTGGTAAGTAAGGTAAAATATTTTATACACAAATATATTTCAGTGTTTTAAGCCTTAATTTGAAAAGAAACTGAAAAATATGCCATTAATGGTATATAGATTCCACCACTGCATCAAGTGTGTTAATATTTCTTCACTCGAGACAGATAAATTTTTATACTTAAAACGCAAGGCTTGTCGAGCTTTTTAAATAATTAAAATTTAACTCTTGAGAGTGGAGAAATATCGTAATACAAGAGTTACAATGTATAATGGTGGAATCTGTTTTCTCCAATGATTTTTAGACGATACATTGTATCTAAACAAAATTTATCCTTCCTTTTCAAAGATTTGCAGATACAGTATGGGTAGAGACTTATTATTATGGATGTCTTAATCCGTCTAGATGTCAGACTGGTCGGACAGTTGTCTCAGTGTAATTAACACCTGCTGTGATATTAACCTGTACAATATCCGAGTGGAAGGTCGTAAATCAGTCTGTACCAGCTTGATTAGAATTAAATTTTACCTGTACAGATATTTTAGTATTTATGGAGGATAGATAATAAATGTAAAATATTGTTTTGTATTCAAAGAAAAAATTACAATAAAAATTTAATATGAATATGGGATCAACTTTTTTTTAACTTGAAAATGAAAGAAAGACGATTTTTAACAATGTACTGTAAAAATGTGTTGCCAATTATAATAATTATGTTTGTGCCAATAAACTATTTGTATTTGTAAACCGTAAATATTTCATTTTATTCAAAATTATAACAACCAGGACTGTTTTCAATCGAAGTTTTAATCAAAATGTTGAGACATCAATCCCGTAAATTATACGAGTTTTCGTTGATGGTTACAATAATTCCCCCTTTTAACGTCCTGTTCCTTTATGTTATTAATAGAAACACAATTTTAAGTATAAGGCCAACATATCATATTTATTAAGTATATAAACAAATTGAATATAGGCATTGTGAATAAACTGTTATTTTCCTTTCGATACCACGTTCCCCGTCGGAGCCTCTACGTCTATTCATACCTGTCAATCATTTCTCGCAAGTAAAACAATTTGGTCAGCCAGATCATCCGTGCTTTCTATTTTGACATATATTTCCCGTTAATCTCTTTGAAACAATTGGGTTTTTTACAATATTTATAATGCTGTGATCATCTTACGATTCCTAGTTTTTATATAAAAAAAACTTTTCATATGCACGTCAATATTCTATGACCCAGCATTATTTTAAATTTTGTTTGTTAATAAATTTACATATAATGGAAATAACAGATTTGTTGACACTCGTTGTATTATAACAAAGATATTGCCTTTCTATTTCCATGTTTTGAAATTTTAATGAAAATCGTGTTTTTTATAAACATATTTTATGAATTGTGTCAATCAATACACGAAGATCAAAGTTTTACACTATTCATGATCAGCCGTCTTTACTTTTGCGTCATATTTCTAGCCATTCTCTAAAGCTCGTGCAGTCAGTAAGATTTTGTAAATCGATGTCGGCAGTTTAAATTGTATAATTCCCGAACTTTAAAGGAGGTGTCTGAATAAATTATTTAAATAGGAATCTGGGTGTTGACTGATAAATATAATAAATAAAATAGTTAAAGAAGACTAAAGCTTGTTTTGTTTATAATTACAAGGATTAAATTTTCTATTCTGGTAAATCAATTATTAATGTATCTCGATCAAGAGCCTCAAAACTAACGCACAATACTGCCAATCATTACGTATCAAATTAAATCATGAATAGATTTTCCCACGGTCAGTCAGTAAGGTCACCTGTGTTAACTGTTGCGATATTTCCCGTCGATACACATATCAGTGATCAACAGCATGTGGTTGAACTTTGAACTTGACTTCACTCACAATACAATGTTGAATGCTAAAAATAGCTGGCATTAATTTTGTCAAATGCACATGTTTTTCAATACGGCAAATATTTTTTTAAGATTGGTGTCAAAAATACAACATACAAGTTAACATGCATTGTGCGTAAATTAATATTATGCAATTAAGAGTCAATGCAGCACCATAAAATTATTTAAATAGGAGTAATTGGATTTCTTTAGACTACAAATCATAGTAAATATTAAATTAACTGGTCATCAAACGATTGAATGCTTCTAGTTTTAATGTCCATTCATGTCAGTGGCAATTATTTCATGCATATTTAACAAACACAGAAATATCAAAATAAACCTAATTCCCGAGAAGAATCGTTATCTTCTTTTAGTGTTATTATTTGCGTACTACTTTAGTTATATATCACCAACTTTCGGACAATATTTGTTTACAGTAAAAAGTAAATTCACAATTATAAAGAATCACCAAACTACTAGTATACAAGTATTGCTCACTGTAATTATTTTTATTTCAGAACTGACCCAACGCAGACTGAAAATTAAATACAAATGTAGTGTTGTCAAACTAAAATGTATGCAGCAGCACTTTGCACATCATTCTGCTTATCAATGGGTTTACGTGGAAAATAAATCAGTAAAACAAAAATAACCTTCCAGAAATAAAAAAAGAAAATATTTTAAAAACTGTATGCCAACAAATACGAAAAAGATACATAACAAAAAAAAAAACAAGGGAACATAGAAAATAATATTTTGAGGAATATAAACAGCATTTGAAATATAAAAAGCCATAATTAAAAAATAGGCTATTATTATTAAAACAAAGTTGTCTCCAGTACTTAACCTGTAAAAATATTTTATGTCAAATACGATGTAGAACTAATCAATAAAGTGACTGAGAGGTTTAAATCACAGGTAACCTGATTCTGAAATCAGTGAAGCATAATAATCTAGTAGCACGGATTGAGATGAAAGGACAATTATATTACCGTTCACACCTGGATCTGTTGATTAATGACCATACTACCTTCCATAAAAAAGTCGGATTATTCATTTCCGACATGTCCCAGTCCGTTATTTATAGTAATAAGTCTCTACCCGTACTGTAGTTGTGTTCTTTATACATGTATGTGACGTCATCAGGCATGGTCACCTTTTTTCATGACATCACAATAGGAAATTCAGAAGAAACCATGAAAATTTGACATCATAATTAAATTTCGACCAATCATTTGAGATGATAAATATTTTTCTCTCACCGATCAAGAAATGTGAAAAAGCATGAAAATTAGAAAAATTATGATAATGAATCCAAAGTATCTGTAATACTTCTGAGAACGGCATTGAGAATTACACTGCATATTACAAATTAAAATATATGAAGTAATGGCTAATGTATTGTGTAATGGCAGTCAGGCAATATGGGGAGACTTGTAATTAGATTAATTTATAACCATGAAAAACATATCCAAAAGGAAAGAAAATTGATTGGCTGAAATTACAATTTAACATTTTCTTTGAAAATCTTTCAGATACATACATTCAGAAAGCTAGGAAATCTTACATGGATTCTAGAGCAAGGAAGAATCTGAATAATATAAATACAGAACTCCAAGATGTTCATAGGATAATGGTACAGAATATTGATGATGTGTTACAGAGAGGAGAAACTCTATCAGGTAATTTGTCTTGTCAGAGAACTCATCTAATTTTAAAGAGACTAGGGCTTAAAAGAGAGGCAAAAAGATACCAATGGGACATTCAAACTCATAAGCCGAAAAATAAACTGACAACGCCATGGCTTAAAAAAAAAAGACAAACAGACAAACAACAGTTTACAAAATACAACGTACAAAGCTAAAGACTGAGCAACACAAACCCCACCAAAAACTTGGGGTGATATCAGGTGCTCCGGAAGGTAAGCAGATCCTGTGCCGAATGTGGCACCCGTACCCTTATCTTGCACCAAAATGACCAATAAATGATGTTACACAAATGTTTCATGTTTCATGTTTTTATACATTTAAAAATGATAAGAAAGATGATTGTCAATGAGACAACTCTCCTCCAGAGACCAAATGACATAGAACTATAAATCATGTTATTAATAGTTAAAAAATTGGTTCCTACTCCAGTTTTTGGAAGTTTATTGAATACCCCTGTATGATAATTATAGATTATTGTTGGTCATCTCAACGAGATTGATTTTCTCACTTGAGCCAGTACGGCGAAAAGTGAGAAAAGTAATTGAGTTGAGATGACTAATGATAATCTGTTTATCGCTATTTTACCTATGACGACGTTGCTAATTTCATTGACAACGGCACATGCGCCCTTAGTTTCTAGCGATAATTTTTGATATCACTCTACTGTGTTGAGAAAGGAAATTATCAGTCAGTAAGATCAAAGGAAAATTTCGTAAAATAGCGATAAAATAGTATAAATGCTCTTCTGGAGTCAGCAAAACATGAATATAATGGTTTTGAGCCTTTCTAGTGTGTTAGCCTATAAGTGATTTTAAAACCAAATGATGATCTATTGTGCATTTATCTTTCCAGAAATCAATTTGTTCTTGAAATGTATAATGCCGTGATTTTCTAAATATTGTTCATCTGTTATTTGATATTTTAGTTTATAGTTCACAAAAAGTATTGCTTACAGCAATTTTTCAAAAATATTGGATTCTTGGGTACCTGACAAAGTAAAATCAGATCTTTCACTTTGCTCTCTTAGATATATTTCTTGCTTATGTAAGATCTGAAGACATTCAATAAGTGGTCATGATTACATGTAGATGACCTTTTATGCAAATTTTAATCAACCAATCATTTTTAGTGACATACTGAAACTTTGATTACAAACTTTTCCTGTAAATATTGATTAGCAAAATTGTTATATTGGTTAAATGATTTACAACCCTGGTTCTCCAGGGCTGACACATCAGATTTTTTATGGTCTCCTACTGTATGCATATACTGCATTACAGGGGCCCATGATAACAGATAAGTTCTTTTAAATTTACCTGATATAGCACCTTATCTAATTTATACTTCCTAGAAATTCACTGTTTGTAATCTTAAAAACACATGAGAATGTTAATATCAGCTGTGCTACACCATAATAAAGGATGACTACATGTGACCAATGATACATGAAATTCATTTATTTTCTTTTTATAGTAAACAGCTGTTTTATATGTGAACAAGGGTTTACTATTGAAATCCTTGATGTAAACAATATTTTCCTCCTAAAACAAATTTATAACAATGTGTACACATTTATGTCAATAATTGGCATCACTAGAATTTATGGTTTTTGACCAATCATATTCTTCTAGACTCTATAATCTTATTGTTCTTTACACATTCATGAATACATTGTAAATTCAAAAAAAATATCTTTAGTTCTTCAAATGATTTTTAACATGTATTATATATTTATTAAGTCTTTACTAACAATACTACAGATTGTGCAAGACCTTCATAAAGAAGTCAAGGTTATTTAACACCCCAGCAGTAGATGTAACAATACAACACCATCTGACTAAGAGTATTAAGTTGCTGTGTAGGACGTTAAACCCCCTTAGATAGACTAACAGTACACTGTACATGTGTTAATGCAAAAAACCTTGACTTCTAACTGAGATTGTATAACACCCAACAGTAAAAAATATCAAAATTTTTAGGCATATACTTATACTTTGCCTTAATCTAATGACTGAAAAGTGTTGAGACCTAAATGAAGATAAGAATGAGATTTGATTTTTTGACTATATATTGATTTTTCTTGACTATATTGATTTTTTTGACTATGTTGATATTTTTGACTATATTGAATTCTATTTTTTTCAGCACTAGATATGAAAGCCAGTAATTTATCGTCTGTTTCTCAGAAGTACAAGAAAGACTCTACATATTTGAACTTACGGTCATCTTACGCCAAAATAGCAGCCATTGTTATTGTTGTCATTGTATTTTTATTATTTATTAAATTTTGGTGGTAATAAACTATATTTATTGTAAAAGCATTGTACTGTGCATGTATTTTATTTTCATAATTCAACAAAGTTGAGTTTACTGCTCAGACAACCCTTAGCTTCCATTTAATGGTGGGCTTAACTTTTTGTTTTGTTTTATCATCAGTCGTGTAAAAAATTTACAGAAATTTATTATGTTTCGATTGAGACTGCATTGGCATCAATAATTATAGATTACCTAAATTAGAAAGAATTGAAAGAAATTTTAAAATTCTGTAGGATTAAGCCAGCAACAATCAATGAATCACTAATGCATTATGGGAATTTCTGGGTAAGTTCATCTTTATTTCTTTCACTTCTATTCTAACCAAAATTTGTACTTTAACATAACAACAGAAGCTCACAGGACTCAGTTGAATCTGTTATTATGTATTTTAATTTTTTGGCTGATATATGAAGAAATTTGTGCTTGGAAACCTCCAAAATGGCAACAAAAGGGAAATAACTCATGCTCAAATCGCAACAATATCGTAATCTATCTATTTGATGAATAGTAACACAAGTAGGAGGATGAAACTAGAAAAACAGCATCAAACAAAAAGCATTTCAACTTCTCTATGTTAGAGTAAAAAATGTGTGTCCTTTCTCCTAATGATTCTTAAATAGTGTGAGCCATGTTACTAAAATAGCAATTTTTACTATAATTTCACTCAGCAATGAGGCAGGCAGTGTACTCAGTGATAATCAGATTCACTCATTATATGTACTAGTCAGCTATTTGATGGTTTACTGTAAAATGTATGTGTGGAGGGAAAAAATGAAATGTTTAATCCTGAATGAATCTATAGGAATAGTTTTGTTATTTACTGTATGGTTGTGTTTTAATGGATGTATAAAAATTTGTATTATTCCCAGCAAAAGTGCTTCTATAAGGGTACCTGTTTTAATTCTTCAATAGTTCTTTGTCCATTTTGTGTAAATGTTTCCCATTGGTCATGATATTTATGCATGAGTAAATACACACATTAATTCCTATATGTACAACACTGTTGATTCTTTAATTTTTTTTGTGATTACCAATTTTCATGGAACGAGGAAAAGTTGTATTTTCACGGATACTTGATTTCATGTTTATATTTACAAACTTTTGTATTCAGGCTTAAAGGAAATTAGTATTCTGTTGAACATTTCGATTGGTGGTTCACCTAAACCCATGAAGTCCATGAAAATCAGTACCCAACAAATAATGCCAATTCCAACATATATAATGGAAATGATGAGAGTGTTATTTACATATATGTAGTCATTTCCAAGTGTTTCTTGAGACAATAGACATTAATATTCACACCATATTATTTGTTAAAGTATGTAAATCTGCATTAGTTAAAGCTTATGTATACATGTATTAAAAGGTGCAATGTGATTTTCTTTAGACCGTGAGAATTTTAAGTCTATAAATCTTGGGGAGGAAAAGTAAATAAGTACAGTGAAACTCATAAGTGTCTAAACTGAACACCTGAAGTCTGTGTTAACTGGAGACCTGTCTGAACTAGACTGTCCATAAGCTGGAAACCTGTCATTAATTAACTCTGTACAACTTAATTGACTTTGTTTGGAGATAATGGTACTAAAAATGAATATTGAAGTAATATAATAATAGTTATTAATTTATTTGATGTTTTGTTAAATGAATAACACGAGTAATGTATATAAGGTTGTATTTTACTTTAGGAGAAATATAATTATATATAAAAAATATGTGTCAACTCTTCAGACATCAACAGTAGCCTTCTGAATTTCCATTTTTTTCCTTAAATGAATTGGAAATCACTCTTAGGGCACTAGTTGTTCAAATATCCCTTTTCAAAATTATTTTTGTAATTTCTAATGACACTGACATTTCACTTCAATCAAATGGGTCTCTTTGAAATGGACATGTTATTGTCAATGTATTGTTTATTTATGTGACATAAAGTGTACAAGCAGCCTGATGTGTTATTCTAGCTTATTGATTGGGTTAATTTTATTTGAATGATGGTTGAAAGAATTACTTTACCATAAATAATTTATCTGCACAAAGTTAAGATAAATCACATAGATAATAATGTGAAATAGAGCAAAGCTCCCACTTATAAATAAATGAATAAACACATTTTCTTTAATCGGAATGCATCAATCAGTCAGTCATTTTAATATATTTTAAAATTGCAGAAAAAACTTAAAATTGCTAGATGTAGCTTTTATGAATCAGAACTTGAAAAGTTGTAAAGTCAACCAAGTGTGAAATACAAATAACGGTACTTGAGTACTGATGAAAAATGCATAAAGATTCAATTTGAATGAGATACAAACATGCTCATTGATTAATGAAATCTCTGAACTCTAAAATTGTAGAAAACTAATTATATTTTTTAAGGTGAAAAAAAAAGAATTGGGAGTGGGGGGTATTTCATTAGAAAGTTGAAAGAATAAAATTATCAAAAGCAATGAGTCTTTAGTCTTCTGTTTTAACTTGTCAGTTTATCTCTTGAAATATGGCTGTCACATTCAAAGATATAAAAAAATTATTTTATCTAAATGACAACAGTTTTGACATACTGTGGATTCATTTATTTCCATAGGAACCAATTTCACGTGGATTCAGGTAAAAAATTATTTTTGTGGATACTTGATTTTTATGGTTTTGCAAAAGTTTGTATACAAGCCTTAGCAATTTTATACTACATTGAACATTTAAATTTGTGTTTTTCCTATACCTATGATTTCAACAAAAATTGATACCCACAAATATTAATGAATACCAAGTACAACAGTTTTTTTAGGAAACAGTCCCTTTTATTAAGCAGAAACAAAATTTTCTTGTCTGCAAGATTGTAATTGTGTTACTTCTAGCTTCATTTCCTGTCAGAAAAAATATTGAAAATATCAGATTATGGATGTTTTTGACAAAATTTTCATGAATATTCCTATCCTATTTGCCAATATATTCTTATATATGATATTCATTTACCTGATAAAATTTACATTAAACAAATAGGAAAGGGTTTGGTGTTTTGAAATAATATAACAATAGCCGATATATTAGTTTAGTTGATATTAGATTAGGGGGAGTCTACTGGAATGAATTGAGATGTGAGTTATGCATCAATATTGACAGTAACTTATGGTCAATTAATTCTGTTGATGAGAGAATAAAAGATGCTTTCAACAATTATAAATTCAGAAATTTTTGTTTTGATTTAAATTTCTGATGCAAAATATGATTGAAATTGTTTGGCTGATTTAAATTTGGATTGCATTATTTTTATGAAGCATGAATTCTCAATAGTAACTCACATGTTTGTTAGTTGATCACCAGTAATAAATAAATGCACATAATTTCTTAATTTAATGTCAAATGTTTAGGTTTTGCAAATAAAAGTAAAAGCAAGAAATGAACACAAGTTATTTATGACAAAATGAACAGGAATCTGAATAATATGTCAGAAATTGTTGGCTATAAATTTTTCATTTTCCACCTTGACATTTGTGTAAATTTTACATAATTTAATTAAATCCTCATTTATTGATCAACTATTTGATTTATAGGGTAGTTAGTCTCATTTTGATATCCAATATTTGGACATTTCAAACAGTACCTGTAATAGATTAAGGTAAATTAGCCTGAATGTAAGAATCAGGAGGTGTATGATTGACATTGAGACAACTAACCACCAGAAGCCAAAGGATAACAAAGATGAAAAACTACAAGTCCTTATACTATATACAACAACGAGTAGTACCCTTTCCATATAGTTAACTATAAAAGACATAGCATGCAAAAAAGAGGAAATCAAAAGATGCCTAAAGTATGCCAAAAACAATAGTTAAAAACACTTATGGCAAACAACAACAAACCACTGGTTTACAGGACAGTCACTTAAAGAATGTGTGTAGGAGAGGGCGTATCCTGTTTGTTAGGGCCCAACCCTCCACTAACCTTTGACAGTGGTGTAACAGCACAACATAAGAACTAACTAAATATAAGTTGGAAATGGCTTGACTAATCAGACTAGTAACTACAAAAAAAATAACTTAACATGGAATATATTTGAATTGAGCTCTACAAACAACGTCTTCATTATCCTGTTTGTAATAAACTTTCTACAGATACAGATCAACTTCAAAACCAGATATTGTACTTAAGAAACAAATTAGTAAAGGATTTTTATATTTTTATAATTTGTGCAAAATCCCATGAAGCTTGTTTTGGAAATGAGCATTGTGTTGTATTGTGACATATATAGTTTCAAAGGCTTTAATTTGTAGGACATTTGTTTTCGGTTGAAATGAGTATATACAGGTCCCAATGTGTTCTAATCAATACATCGCAGGGATATAGCCTTTTTGTGCTGATGCAGCGTAAAGCAATCACCAATCAATCAATCAATCAATCTAATGAATACATCCTGACTTCCATGAATTCTAGTGAGTATATTAAGTTCTTCATGTGTTCTAATGAATACATCCTGACTTCCATGTATTCTAGTGAGTATATTAAGTTTTCCATATGTTCTAATGAATACATCCTGACTTCCATGTATTCTAGTGAGTATATTAAGTTCTCCATGTGTTCAATGAATACATACTGATTTCCATGTATTCTAGTGAGTATATTAAGTTTTCCATGTGTTCTAATTAATACATACTGATTTCCATGTATTCTAGAGAGTATATTAAGGTCTCCATGTGTTCTAATATGTGCATACATGTCAATGTGTTCTTATGAGTACTGTAAATTCATAAATTATTGCAAGGGTTTTATTAATGCGAATAATGCGACCACTTGAGTATCACAATAATAAGAGCTCACATTCTGATATCTGATATATGTATTTATATAGATTAGACCGTTGGTTTTCCCATTCGAATGGTTTTACACTAGTAATTTTTGGGGCCCATTATAGCTTACTGTTCGGTGTGAGCCAAGGCTCCGTGTTGAAGACCGTACTTTGACCTATACTGGTTTACTTTTATAAATTTCGACTTGGATGGAGAGTTGTCTCATTGGCACTCATACCACATCTTCTTATATCTATATACAAATGTATCTGTATGTAGCTTTTATTAAAATAGCAATAGTTAAACTCACATTGTTGTTCATTCTTCTAAAATCACAATAATAAATGCAAGCAATAATTTCTGAATTATACATGTTTCAATGTGTTATAGTGAGTATTTGTAGACACCATGTGTTCTAATGGCAAATAAAGGTCTCCATTTGTTATGAGTATACTCAGGTCTCCATTTGTTATGAGTATACTCAGGTCTCCATTTGTTATGAGTACACTCAGGTCTCCATGTGTTCTAATGACAATGCAGGTCTCAAAGTGTTCTAATGTGTATATATACTGATCTCCATGTGTTCTAATTAGTATATGAAGGTTTCCGTGTGTTCTTATAAGTGTATGCAGGTCTCCATGCGTTCTAATTAGTATCTACTACTTCAAGAAGATATCGCCCTGAAATGGTAAGTTTTTTTTAACAATTTAGAATTTTTGCATATTATTTTTTGTAATCTATAATTTATAGATAGAAACTTTAACAGCAATCTACGAAAAGCTTGCTATTATCATTAGCAAATATTGTTAGGGGCAGAGATGGTGGTGTAATAATGTCAATTGGACGTGTCACCATACCATATCAAGACAAAACCAAGCTTATGACTGAAACAATCATTTGACCCTCAACATGAGTAACGATTTTGACACAGTTTAGAATGTAGGTAGAAAGAACCTGTTGACAGTCAAAAATGAAAAGCAATACCAGATTTACAAAAAATGTAGTGATGACTGCAACAAGTTATTTAAACCTTAAATGACGATTTTTTTTTAATAACTTGATCATTTTTATCTACAGATTTGAAACGATCATAGAGAGATACTGTACATGACATACATGATTAGCAATACAAGATCTTTTAAAAAAAAATGCCGTACTAACTTGATCATACTAGTATGAATAAAGCCGTCAATTGACACCGCTTACAAATTTACAGTAGTAACGTGAAAGCAAGAGAACATTTTTCAATAAAGTTTATACTGGCAAACAGTATGTTGCACATATTTGATCGTACATAAACGTACATTACATATAATAAGATTAATACGGTTTCACATACATCGTATATATTCCCATGAAAGAATACTCAGTTTATTTCACAAGACCTTCATTCTCCAATACACAAATTGTGTAATTTATAAGTCAATTGAATTTTCAATGCATGAGAAGTTTTGTATTTTCATTAAAAAAAAAGCAAGGTTAATGCAGCTTCACATATATCGAATATATTTCAACGAAAGGAGATTTTCAACTGAAAATAATTAATTATTTAAAAATAGCTACTACTACAGTAGACAACAAACAATATGTTGTCAATACGTCAATTTAATTTACAATGCATGAGTAAACGTCTTATACAAAAGCTGCTAACATATTTTTGGAACTAACTTTAAAACTAGGTAATGAACCCTTGAATTATTTTCTTTCAAATTATGAACCCGGGATTTGAATGAAGTAAACCCTCAAAACAATGCAGTTCAGTGCTGGAATTTAACAAGATACATATAAGAAGTATTGAGTGCAGAAGAAAGATTCAAACAAAAGTATGTATAAGTTATGCTCTCAAAACAAGAATACTCGTTTGCAACTATAATTTTAAAACATAAGTATTTTAGAACCAATTTTGCAATTAAAGCGATAAGCCAATTTAGGTTGAACTTATATTCAAGTACGATATCAATTCAGTTTTGTCTTTTTATAAAAAGAATAAGATTTAATATAGAAAAATAAGGATATGGCATATCATTGCCCAATAAGACAATTATCCACCGGAGATCATGACGTGGATGTTTTTTGTGATTTCACTTTTTAGATACAATTCAAACGAGGAAACTAACGGCCTTATTTATAGCAATTCAATATACGAAAATCAAATATGGCACACATGAACCAACGACAACCACTGAACTACAGGCGTCAAACTTACGACATCCACAACCCTCTCCTTAACCCGAAAATAGTATTCTCAATATGTCCCAGCCCTAGCCTTTGGCTTAGCTCAATAGATCAGTACGAAGCACACAAAAAAAAAAAACGATAAACAACAGGCACCGATATATAAAGTACTAATTCGCTTTTACAAATGTGACTAGCCACGGTATTTCCAGGTTTATGGGGTACCTAGTCCAAAATAGGCTTATTGCATATTTAACCAGAACACACTGAAAGAATTACATATTTTCCCAGTTAAGTTATTATGCCAGATTCATTGAAATAACGGCGTTATGAGTGTTTTTGTATGTCCACATACGAAGTATTCGTTGGCGACTTTGCACTTTTTGATTTACGAACGCATTATTTTATAAAGTTCAAAATTACTGCTTTTCAATTAATAAACCAACAATGGTAAGTGGTCATAGTAGCACATTGCTCGATCCGATTATTAAATGACATAATTTTTGCCTATTATTTTAATCTCTGCAATAGATGGATACTTTACAATACAAAATTTGTAAGGGGTTCCTCGGATTCTTGTGTCTCGCCCTTCATTGCAGCTGTCAGTGTTAAAGTATTATGTTAACCTAAAAAGTGAGTCCATTTATCAGTAAATACTAAATTGAATAAAATCATTTTTTTAGATGCTATTTCTTGATCTTGAAGATTAGCGTCTGTCCAAGTTTAATTACAATCCATGAAGGTTTACAAATTTATCATGTCAAAAAAATTTAATCCCAGATTGTCTGTAAATGTAAACTGTAAAAAACTAAGTCCATCTTTCAGAAAAATGCTGAATTGAAAAAAATATATTTTCAAAAGTTTGCTTCAGACATTATCTCTTAATCATAAAAAAGCTTCTGCCAAAGTTTTATAAAATTGTATGAAGGTTTGCCAAAGTAACTGATGTGTAACAAATGTTAACCCCAGACTGTAACTACTTGTTAACTATAAAAAGATATATATCCATTTATCAGTAAAATACGTAAAATGAAAATAAATATTTAATTAATTAAGATTTTTGACAATTTTGTTGTATCTTAAAAACTGCAATCTATAGACAGAAACTTTAAAAAGCAAGAAAAAATAGATTTACAATTATTTCGTAGAAAGAAACAGTTAAATACATGAGATGAGTTTAATTTTGACGAGTTAACTCTAGTAAAAATATGACAGCACAAATTATTTTAGAAGCCTGTTTTTATAATTAGATTTCTTTGTAATATCCCCTTGGTTATATAGAAATCAATGATATGGTGACTGTAATTTGTTAGCTATCTACACCTTGTTATATTATTGGTCTTTAAAAAAAAACACTTTAAAACAACAAGGATATACAGATTGATTTTTTAATTTTTTTTCAGAAATTGCAAATTTTGACATTTTTCAACAGAATCATAGAAAAAAAAATCACAATCAGTTTTTAGGTCTAAACATTCACTTATTACACCTTGGTATGCTTTGTTTTATATTTTACTTTATGAAAAGAAAAGAAATATCGAAACACTTATAATGTATCAAGAGCAGAATGCTTAATTTGAAGAAAAAATAGATACTTTTTAAAGATTTTAGAAAATGCATTTTTTACTGAATTATCTCCTTTTGTACAATAGAAAATCACTATTTATGGCTTCATTTATTGTAATTGTATTATCTTCATTGTTAGTTAAACGTACATTGTTAAGTATAATAATGGTTTTTACGGAAGCGAATTAGGGCCATCCTTTTTATTTATTATTTTTCAAATTGTAGACATTAATCTTGGAATTATCAACTTTAATCTTTTATCTTGGGATTATCAACTTTAATCTTGAAATTATCATCTTTAATCTTGGAATTATCAGCATTAATCTTGGAATTATCAACTTTAATCTTGGAATTTCCAACTTAAATCTTGGAATTATCAATATTAAACTTGGAAATTCCAACTTTAATCTTGGAATTATCAACTTTAATCTCAAAAATGACTGATATATTACTTCTATATTTATATTGATTTGGGGTATGTCCTACATATCTTTTATGAATATGTTATGGAAATCTTATATTAATGGCCAATTGTGGTATTTGAATCAATCAGGGACTTCATATTTACATTAAATATTGTACACAAGTAAAGGTCATTCTCTGTACATATTTTATTACATATATGTGACTAGCCATGGCATATCCAGACTTATGGAGGTAGAACGTCATTGTGAGAAAAACGTGGTTAACTATATGTGACTAGCCACTTCCAGGCTAAAGAGGGTGCATTGTCTAAAATTTGCTTTTTGTTTATTTATCTAGAATATTAGAAACAAAACTCTCTGTCATGTTATTATGACATATTTGTTGTAATAGCAATGAAACGAGTCATTTCGAATACCGGTATGAAAGTGAGACTGTTCTATGACGACTTCTATTCATTGAAGGCAATAATTTATAAAATCATTGTATTTATTGGCGCTTAGTAATGTTCGATAGCGTATCTGAATAAAATTCAAAGAATTAAATTTACTACAATACAAACAATTCTTAGCTCTATTATAGAACATGTAATTTAAACTTGTTGAAATGAAGTTAGTTTAAAATTTGTCAAAGTAAGCCATAATAAGTCCTTTTTTAAATTGTCTTTTATTTTAGATTTATCATGCATGTCTCTATACAAAGTATGCGACGATTAACAGTTTATAATTAGGTGTTCTCATATATGATTTGATACGGTGCATTTATTATGGATATATTTCAGACTCCATTTATGAAAGAAAATCTATAGAGCAGAGAATTTAGATTTTTTGTAGCTCTATTTTAGAACATGTACTTTTAACTTGTTGAAATGAAGTTAGTTTAAAATTTGTCAAAGAAAGCTTTAAGAATTCCTTTCTTTAAATTTGTCTTTTATTTTAGATTTATTATGCATGTCTCTATACATAGTATGCGAAGCGTAACAGTTTATAAGTAGGTGTTCTCTTTTATGCATTTGATACGGTGCATTTATTATGGAAATTTCAGACTCCATTTATGAAAGAAAATCTATAGAACAGAGAATTTTTTTTTTGCATAAATTTAAAATGTAGATTCAAATATTTTTCACTTCAAACGATAACGTAAAACTTCTTCAGAACTTATATATATGATGTATAGTTCGGCGTCCGCAAAAAAGAGGCCAAGGTAAAGTGTTTATTAGTCTTGCATATTATTTTAATTTTAGTTCATTTATATGTTTTGGAGTTTAGTGTGACGTCCATTTTCACTGAACTAGCACATGATTTTATTTAGGGGCCAGCTGAGGACCACCTCCGGGTGCGGGATTTTCTCGATGCAGTGAAGACCCATTGGTGGCCTTCGGCTGTTGTCTGCTCTTTGGTCGGGCTGTTGTCTCTTTGACATATTCCCCATTTCCATTCTTAATTTTATCTCTTCTTCACAAATACGTATTCCATTGAATCTCGATATTTATCATGTTTATAATTTTTCTAACAGTGACGTTCTATCTCCATAAGCCTGGAAATGTCATGGCGGATCACAATTTTTATAATAAATAAAGGTAATAAATATTAGTTAATATTATATAAAAAAATAGGTATATTGTTTTAGACAAACATAGCACACCGCTACCAAAAAAAAAAAAACCAACTTTAATCTTGGAATTATCAACTTTAATCTTGGAATTATCAACATTAAAGTTTAAATTTCCAAGTTTACTGTTGATAATTTCAAGATTAAAGTTGATAATTCAAAGATTAAAGTTGGAAATTCCAAGATTAAAGTTGATAATTCCAAGATTAAAGTTGATAATTCCAAGATTAAAGTTGATAATTCCAAGATTTAAGCTGGAAATTCCAAGATTAAAGTTGATAATTCCAAGATTAAAGTCGACAATTTGAAAAAAATAAATAAAAAAGGATGGCCCAAATACGCTTGCGTAGGTTTTAGAAAAGTAAAATTTATATATTTCAAAAATTATCTACAGATTGATATTTAAAATTCATTGATTCTGTAAGAGAAATTGTAAATTTTTATTAAAGGAAAATTCTAAAAAGTACTAAAACAAGAGTCAACCAATCGTATATGCTAAAATGCGTTCTTAATTCTGTCACTTAAAATAACCAAATAGAGATATGTTTATATTTTAATGGACAGAGAGCTGGTAAGTTTACAAAAATGTGATTTTAAGATTTTTAAAAATGCATTTTTACTGGATTATGTCCCTTTGTATCAAAGAAATTCAATATTTATGGCATCATAAATTGTAACTGAACTATGGTCATCGTTACTTTGACTTATTTTGTTAAATGTTATAGTGATTTTGAAAAAGAAACACTTACATTTCCAAAATTATCTACAGAATGCCTTTCTTAATTTCACTGATTTATTGAGAGAAAATGTAAATTTAGGCATTTTTAGATTATAATTTTAGAATGTACTACAATGAGACCCCAGCAAGCTTACTAGCTAAAATGCATAATTAAGTATTCCAATTGATAAAACATAAGGGGTTATCTTTATATTTTTAATGGACCAAAGGCTAGATAATTTTAAAAATACGTACTTTTTACGATTTTCTGAAAATATTTTTTTTACTGAATTATCTCCCTGGGAATAATCCACAAACTGTTTCTCGTAA